AAAGAGTATACCTGTAGGCTTTGAAAGTCATATGTTTCTTGCCTGAAATACTATTGTAAAAGTCATTTTCTACGTTATCTTTCCAGAAAAAATAGCGTCTCTATTACATTGAAGCTGTCAGAGTGAACAAGCATGTTAAGTTGATAGAAATTGTGTTCATTATAATAGATACTATGAAGTTTTTGTAGCTTGGACTATACAAATGTTTAAAATAATTTCTAACCAAAAAGTGGATTCAAAGAAAAAATTATTTTAACACTTCTCTTCAACAAAAATGGAAAGAAAATTTTTTTATTTTCTTCTTGCAGGCCCGACATCTTATTGAAGAACAAAATGTAATCACCACCATTACAGAGACACTCCTAGAAGTGCTTCCAGAGTACCTAGACAAAAATGACAAGTTCAACTTCCAGGGTTACAGTCAGGACAAACTGAACCGGGTATATGCAGTAATATATGACCTCAGGTAAGTGCAAAGCTGAGAAGTTTGAAAAATTCTTAGAAAACTAGCAGTAGGAAGAGGTGTTTCAGTTCAGGAATCTGACTATAAAAATGCTTTAAAAACAAACCCAAAGCCAAACACCTCAAAAAACACACAGGAAACATTTAATGTTTTATTTTTCAGTGCAAATTTAAAATTTTAAAATACCAAAATTATGTTCTATAAGGGCAATTTTTGGTGTTTTTCACTGATGTAATTCCATATAACAATTGTGTTAACAAAAAAAACCACACCTACTTTAAGACAGCATGTGAAATTTGACTTGTATTAATTATAATTCTGGGAAATTATATATAATTGTATTATATATAATCCTAATCTGCATAACATTTTCTACTCTTACAGGTCCATAATTACTTTAATAAAAAGAATAATGTAAAAGCAAACCACCCCAAATACCTTGGCATTAAAAAAATCTGTTAATTTGAAATGGTGAATTCACACGCAGCAATTCAAGTGTTTGGTGAAATTTTTAATAGGAGTTTGAGATGGGGAGGGTGATGTAATGTGATGATGCAGTTGATTATTTTAATACAAAGAACACTCTAAATGCAAGCATAAGTAGATGAGAAGTCTGAACAAAAAGATGATAATGTTTTCTTTGGAGACAGGTATGTCTTAGTCAGCAAGCCTACAGTATGGACAGACCGTTTGAGGGAGCGGTTTTTAGAAGGATTTGTTTCTTTCCTAAGGATTCTAACTTGCATGCAGGTACAATACATTTAAATAATTTCTTTCTCGTATGCTGTTATAAAGATATTACAGCACTTTTGTTTGCTCATCTTCTTGTCCATAGCAATATTGCCATAAGCATGCAATTAGGATGGTAAATTCTTCAATCTCTGTCTGGGATGGGTGAAAAAGTAGTGTTTACTTCATAGAAGTAATATTAATAAATTTTAACTGTGTATGTCTGAACAACCTCTATTTGACCATTTGCCTATGGGACTGTGTTATTTTAAGCCTGCGATCACTGATTTAGCTGGAGTATGTTGTGGCATCTCCATTTCAGGGAATGGAGGAGATAAAAAGGCAGATTGGTCAGCACATTGAGGTGGACCCTGACTGGGAAGCAGCTATTGCTATACAAATGCAGCTCAAGAACATTCTTTTGATGTTCCAGGAGTGGTGTGCCTGTGATGTAAGTGCATCAATTGTCTGGGGTTCTTACATGCCTGCCTTTTGTGAATATTCCCGAGTGCTTTTTAAAGACCAGCTTTTTAAAAAAACTCACTGTTCTTCAACACAGATCTCTACAAACAAGAGGTCTGAAAGGATTAATCTGTGTTATGACACAGAGAGAAGGGATCTAGCTGACAAAGCTGCACAGGGTGTCAGACAAATCGTAAAGAGAAAATACTTTTCATAATTTAAGATTTTGAAAATTAGGTTCATGGTATCACTGTCAAATTTTAAAGTTTGGAAGCACATTGTGTTAATTTTTAATTGCAAAAATGGATTGCAGAAACTTTGCACTAATTGGGTAATTGCACTGTAAGTAGTCTTAATCAGTGCTGGAGCTCATCCCTGTGCTGGGAGAGGGGAGGAAAAGGTAAAATTTATCAACTTAAAGATATTTTGAAGTGAGTTTCTTTTCTTTGTTTTCAGTAGGGAGAGGAAGGTAGAACTGTAGCAGTTCAGGAGCTTCCTGATGCAACTTGGGGTGCAAACTATGCAAAATATTAAAATATTGCGGTTTAAATAAGCATACAGATTTTTGGAGCATTTGATAGAGCAGCTTTTTTTGAATAGAAGCATATTCTCAGTTAGCTTTAGTGGATACTCCACTGCTCCAGTCCAGCACTTCTCAGTATGTAGTAATTATATTGTGGGTTTTTAGTAGCTGTTCATGCTGTCAGAAAAAACAAGTGAGGAATTTTGGTGTATACATAGCATCTTTAAATACAGCGCTATGCATTTCTTTTAAATTCTAGGAAGAGCTGTTGCTCAGGGCCTACAGAGAATGTCATAAAGCTGTGATGAGGTGCAGCACAAATGGCCGCTCACGGGAAAAGACCGTGTTTCACTTGTGTGGACATACTTTGGAGAGCAGACCTTACAGAGTGTCTTCAGATCCTGTCAGCATACATTTACCGCTGTCTAGGACTCTTGCTGGTAGGTGGTGTGTTTTGTTTTGGTTGCTATTTGAATTGTTTATCATTCCATCTCTGTTTCATTATTCTAGGAAGTATTTAGATTAAGTGCTTCGTTGATCAGTCACTCTGACTTTCTGACATTCTCATGATCAGGCAACCCTGTACCCCAGATGTCTAAGGGAAAGTTTTTCTCAAAAACATTTGTCATGGGGGTTGGAGGACACTTTTTTAAACAGGAGAGAGAGAAGAAAGGCAAGAAGGAAAAGCTTCATGTTTTAATGAGATCTTCAGTTTTCTCCAGACTATTTGAATTTATGTGGTTCTGTTTCTGTTTCTACCTGTTTTCCCTAAATGAACATTAATTATTATTGTAGCTTGAATTTATTTTCCAGCCACATATATCTTAGGGCAGTTAAAATGCTCCTCCTAAAAGACGTGTTTGCAGCATGCCAGGACAGATTTCCAGTCAGAATACAGAGGACCAGAGCAGTGGGTGGTTGCCACTTCCTCTAGAATACAATTGAAATCATATGCTATTATTAAGCTGTAGATTCTTTATCGCATCATTTTGATACCAAGATAGCATCTGTTAAGCCTTGGAGTCTTGAAATCCAGTTATTACTGACATATGATTTAAATGTGAAATTAAAATTTTGCTAATACTACTTAGTATCTTGGTTTAAATGGTTTTAATGAATTCATTAAATGGGTAGATTTATGAATAAAATAATGGAATGTAAGACTGGAAAGAACTGTTGTGATAATGTAATAGATATCCTGTCTTAAAAACAAAGCCAAAAAAAGCCAGGTAACAAGTCTTTCCTAAATAAACTTCGACTTTTTTTCTGTAGTTCTTTGACTTGTATGTGATTTAGCTAACATTTAGAATGTGTTGGAGGAGAAACTTTACTGCTTTTGATCTATTTTCAAATGTTTTTCCTATTGATTTTGTAGGTCTTCATGTACGATTAAGCAAGACTGGAGCCATCTCAAGATTGCATGAGTTTGTTCCTCATGTAAGTTTTTTTTTCATTCCCCAAATGCTGATTGTGATTTATAATCTGGGATGGAAAAAGCCTAAATATTCTGCAACTTTCATGACACACCCAGGTTATTTTGCAGCTATCCATGTGTTATTGTTCATTAGGTCTTACACTTTTAAAATCACTGACACACTTATCCTTGCTTGGTGTGTTTTGTTTTTTTTCTTCTAGGAAGAATTTCAAGTGGAGCTGCTAGTGGAATATCCTTTGCGATGTCTTGTCTTGGTTGCTCAGGTTGCTGCAGAGATGTGGAGAAGAAATGGACTCTCTCTGATAAGCCAGGTACTCCTACGCCATTCAGTAGTGAGTTGGTCCTAATGGTGTATGCGAGTGTTTCTCAGTAATGTTCCCAGTGGTGGTTTCATCCAGTGCAGAAAGAGGTCATGGGGGTCACTCCTACACTAAACAGAAAGGTTTCTAGGTGAACTTTGATAAACCAAGATGACTTGGTTTTGTTTCCAGCTTCACCAATGGCTTGCCTGCCTGTATTAGACAAGTCTCTCGTCTCTCTTATAGCTGTTTCTGACTCTGTGAAAGGGTATTAATGTTACTGATGTCTACTGTAAACTACTTTCAGATCTGATAAAGAAATTACTGCATAAGTACTTAGTACTGTTCCTTATAATGTAAAATTTTAGAAAAATCTCTTAGTGTATGGTAATCATTGAGATTAAAATAGTTTACCTTTGCATACATATTAAACTTTTGAGTGCCATATAGCTGGACATAACAAACATTTTAAAATACATATGGGCTTTTTAGTTGCAAGAGTAAAGGTAAAAGTAAGAGTCTACCCTTAAGTACTTGTATATTGCCTGCTATGCCTTCACTTTTTTTTTCTGTTGACACCAGAAATTTTCTGTGTTTGCCTCTCACAGGACCCTTTGAAATCAAAGTAAATTTTGGTAGCCCTCTGTAGAATTGTCTCTGAGAACTGGGTTGGAGAAGGAGGATGTTTTCATTTTAATCAGTAGCAGCCATTAGAATTATGTTATCTTAGAAGGGGGTGAGAAGAAATACTGCTTAGACTTTCTCTGGATAGGTGAAAAACATTTTTCACTTCCATCAAAGTATACATTTGTTTTGAAAGAAATACGTGACTTTCCCTTACTCAATAAAGGTGCTGTACAGTTTAAAAAAGCCTCAGACATTAACTGGTGCACATTTGATAGTGCATTACTTTACATTACTTCTCTACTTAAATTTTGTTTTCCTACTTCTCAGGTATTTTATTATCAAGATGTTAAATGCAGAGAAGAGATGTACGATAAAGATATCATTATGCTCCAGGTATAATGTTCTGAATCATTGCTTGCTTGACTCATAAAATTTTCATTTAATTTTAATGAAATGTGTATTATTTAAAAGATTTTTCTTGGTAAAAGAGTATTTTTCTTAATTAAGGAGGAACTGTAGTAGTTACTGATGTTCATATTAGTTTGGGGTTTTTGACAGATAGGTGCATCTCTTATGGATCCAAACCAGTTCCTCCTGCTGATACTGCAGAGATATGAGCTTGCTGATGCTTTCAAAAAGATGAAGCCCACCAAAGATCAGGTAAGTGGCAAGTATTTCTGCTGCTTAACTTGTTTGCTTTGAGTTTATGGAATGTTAATAAGAAAAAATAGCTACATTTGATAACTGCATTTTTATGACCACACTAAAAGTCAGTCAACACAGGACCGAGTGGTTGAATAAATGATTTTGTGTTTGGAATTTATAGTAGCTTACTCAAAATTAAAAAAGTTTTTTCCCTCTTTGACCTTTATTTCATAGAACGTCTACCAAAATCCATGTAAATAACTTCTCTATGACTCTTAAGCCATATTATGTGTTTTTATTTTGGCTGGAAGTTTCTTGGATTGTTATGCTATTTCTTGAGGCTTGAACTTTTATATAACCCTTGATTTGGGATACATTTTCAGCTGTTGTTTCTTTGCCTGCATGTGACTCTTGCAATTCACAGGCATTTTTTCCCAGCTTGTTAGAATGGAATTTTCTTCCTATAATACAGTGCTTAGTGAAATAGTGCATCTGAAGGCTGAGCTCAGTGTTGTTTGACAGATTTTCCTGCCTGTCTGTTTGGGTTTTTTTGGGGTTTTTTTTGGTTTTTTTTGTGGGGTGTTTGTTTGTGGTTTTTTTTTTTTTGATTGGTTTTTGTTTTGGTTTGGTTTTTGTTGGTTTGCGTTTTTTTTAAAACTGGTTTCTCTAATTGTTGTAGGACTTGATCAAACAATGTAACATATTGATAGAGGAGATGCTACAGATTCTCATTTATGTTGTGGGTAAGTTTCATTTCTCTCAAGTATTGTAGTGAGGGATTATTACAGTGTGACAAAACGTGCTTGATGACTTTCTTTAACATAGATGGTATGGAGAGGATACTGGAGAATGCCTGTTTTAAATAGATGGTTCAGTAATACAGATATTTGTCAGCCAGAAGCAGTAGGGCTTGCATAACAAACAAAGCTGCTAGATAACTTCATAGTTGACTATTAAAGTAGAATGTGAAGAGAAACTCTATCTCAGCCCCTCTTGTTATGAAGCTAAGCTAAAAACCATTTTTCTTCTCAGACCCTTGGGTAGGTTTCTGGTGAATGCCAATTTATACTATGAAGTATCCTAGCAGTAGCATTACCTTGGTGCAAAATTCAGACTTGCTTTATAACTGCCATATGTGCTGTTCTCCTTTTGATTCACTCTGGTAGGGGAACGATATGTGCCTGGAGTGAGTAATGTGACAAAAGAAGATGTTATCATGAGAGAAATCATCCATCTATTATGTATTGAACCGATGGCTCACAGTGCAATTACTAAGTCCTTGCCTGAAAACGTGAGTCCTGGTTTATTTACTTTTTTCCTTAATTTACTTTTTTCTTGTTTTATGTCTTTTTCTTCTTCCATAAATATGGAAGGATTTTATTTCTGATATAAAGCTCAAATGTTGGTTTCAGAATTACAAAATGTGTCAAAGAGACTTACACACCTCACTGTTGTAAAGATAAGTGTCATGGATTTAAGTGTGACCTAATCTGAAAAGGATTGTGCTTTTTGATGAAGTGGAGGATTTTTTTTAGAATATTCAGCTTTAGTTCTTCTAGATTCAAAAATAAAAGTTTAAAAAATTTTCTCTTTTGGCCCTGTAGGACCATGTAGCTGGATTCCATTCTGCCCTGTGTACCATCAATAAATTTGATCGTGTAGTTTTGATTACTTAAACCTGTGCAGATCCATTGGAAGTCAAGTATTGTACAGGTCTATTTAAAAGCACGGATTTCCCTGCCATTCTTTTCCAAGTGTTGAAAATTCCAGCAAAGGGGAGGGATGGGGATTAGATTTTATAGCCTGTGCAAATTTTCAGGGCTGGCAATCAATGCAAAAAACTAAATTCAATAGCTGGGAATTTTGTCAGAACCCAGGAATGGGTGATCCACATTCACTATTTTAAGAGACTAAAACTCTGCTTTTCCCTCCATTGAGTTTGGGTAAGGCACTGCTCTGTTTCTGGAGATCAGCTTGTTTATAAATAAAATTCTGCATGCTTAAATGAAAATATTTTCTGTCTTTGGTCCTTCCTTGTAACTTGTCAGTTATGAATACCTGCTTGCTGAATAACAGTGGGCAAAATGTATTAATTAATGAAGTAGGGAATTAATCTAAATCTGTATGTCTATTTTTGTTGTACCTAGCATTAAGCTGAAGGTATTTGAATTATTGTATATTTATCCTAAACTAAATTTTTTACCAGGAGAACAATGAAACTGGCTTGGAGAATGTAATTGATAAAGTGGCTACGTTTAAGTAAGTTCTCAGTATTGTTTTATAAGTAGCTTGAATGTGAAATAAGATCTCTTAGATTATGTGGGTTAAACAAGCTGCAGTACACAGTCTCTGTTCAGCTAATATTTTGTTGTCTTGAAATATATATGCTTTCAAATATGCATAGGAAAGAAAAGTGTGTGGAATATCTGAAGCTGCTCCTTCTCTCCTTTTGCACCCCTCTTTCTTCAAATTCAGTTTGAGGTGTCTCAGGAATTGAGTAATCTGAAGTCCTAGTGGGAAAAGCTTTGAAAGTTAATTTTATTTCAGAGATGGTTGAGAACCTTACCAACGCGTTGTACCTTTGACAGTTACCATCTAATCATTGGTTTAGATGTTAAGTTGCTAACTTGCTGTAACTTTCAGATGGGAGTTAATTTTTTTAAATATATATATATATAATTTGTTAAAAATATATATATATATATATGCAAATATAGACCAAACAGTTGTAGCAGTTGAGTAAAACTAGTTGAAATGTCTGCTATTTTTGTCACAAAAATGTCTTGTTGACTGTTATACTAAATATTTTAGTATACCTTATTTTAAATTGTCTTGCTTGTTTATGTTTAATCAAGGGCAACTATAGGTGTGCCTAGCAATTTTGCTGTGGGAATTATATAGAAGGTTCAAAAAATCTCACTGGCTGGAAGGTAGCTCTTTGTATTACTTGTTTGGTACCTTGGTTAAAGAAAGTAATAAATTTTATATGGTAACATCCAATGTCTGAACTTCTAAGCCGTGAAGTGAAAAATAATTTACCTGTCAGAGTCTGTATGGTGTGCTGTAGATAGTATAGACTAGAAATATTTTGCTGCTGTGTGGAATTTTTTTAATAGTAAACAGCCTTGAAAATTAAAGACTGATAACTGTACTCACTCTATGTTCTTTATAAGTTGATGAGATAACCATCACTATTCCTCTTTTGCTAGTGTCTCCTTAGAAAATAGTGTTACTGGCTTGTTTACGTTCAAGGATGTACTGAACCTACATTATTAATCTGTATGTCATGAAATATTTCTCTGTAAGGAAACCGGGTGTGTCTGGCCATGGAGTTTATGAACTGAAAGACGAATGCTTGAAGGAGTTCAATATGTTCTTCTATCACTATACCAAGACCCAGCACAGCAAGGTAAGCAGTGCAAGATTCAAAGGTTAAAAAAATAGTACAATTTTGTTGTATAAAAGGAATTAATGGAGTCTAAAGAAACTGATTCAGTCAAGAGTGTATGCAGCTAACTTCAAAGCTGAACTTCAAATGGAGTTAAGATTGTTGATACAAATTGACATGGTGTGGTTTGCATTCATATTTTCCCTGTGGTGACTTCTGTCTTAACTGTTAACTATTTATGCAAAGAACAAAATATAAGAATTATCTTTGAACTGGAAAACCCCAAACTTTGCTTGTATAACTCTTACTGATGAAGCAAGTGTGTCTAACTATTTATCTCTACTAATTGAAATGCGAAATGCAATATTTTAAACCAAGTTCAGAAAAGATTCTAGTTACACAACCAGGTATTGGCTATGTATCTTGCCACATTTCTAGTTTAGGGTTTCTCATTGTGTCACTGTGTACTTCTGTAGAGATACTGATACAACAACACTACTTTTTCTCTAGGCTGAGCATACACAAAAGAAAAGAAGAAAACAAGAAAACAGAGATGAAGGTAAAAACTTTGAAACTGATGACTCAACAAATGTGATAATTCAGTAGTGTATGTAGTTGTGCATATAAAGTGAGCTTTGGGATTTGTCTTGTGACTTAATCGTGGATAATTGAGCTCATACAAAATGTGTTGTGATTTGTAGTAACTGTAATTAATTTGCATCTGAGGTTTCTTTTATCTTTTTTCCTTTTTTTTAACACAAAGATAGGAGTTTTGGAATTTTTAGTTTAATTTCCATGTAGACAAACACAGCATAGTACCCATTGACAAAATTAACAACTTAGAGTTTTTATGGTTGAGTAACTAGGAGGTGAAATTTTTTTTTTTTCGGTGAGTAGTTTCTATAGCACAATGTTGAGACATAATAATGCCATTTAGAGAAGGTTGCTGCAGGAACTAGTGCTCATATCCATTCTGTAAGTAGCTTGAGACTTAAAATTTATAATCTGCAAATAAGTATAACAATAAAACTATGTTTCTGTTGTAACACAAGTGTTATTTCCCTTTTGAATTTACTTTTATCCATTCAAGTCATGAGCATTAATTGAGTTCATTTGAGGAAGACTGCGTAAGCTGCATTAATGAGTACAATGAACATCTTAATAAAATCAACTATCACCTGCTTTTGTGATTTGTAACAGATGATTATTTTTTTCTTCCCAGATTGCCCTCCCAGTTGAATACCTTAAGCTTTACTTCTTACTCTAAACCATATTTTGGTTTTTGTATGCAATTGGGGCACTACAGCATTGCATACCTAACATGGTTAAAATTCATTCTGGGTAAATGTCATTAGCTTTGGGTTCCTTTCAGCTGAAAAACTGTGGACTTGAAAAAGAATAAATTGGCATTGTCATTTTGGAGGGACACAGTTAAATTGGAAACCACATTCTCTTTAAAAAAAAATAAATTAATTTCCTTCAGTTTTAAGTAACTCAGAAGATGATGACAGCTGGAGAATAATGAGGGGGGAAAATCTTTAGATTACTTTTAGTTTCTTTACTGTTTGTTTTATACATTTGACAGATTTCAATAGTACCTTCTTAATTTGGGGGTTTTTTTCCCTGTTCACTTTAGCAACTTAAAATGTTAGCAGGGATGTTTATTTTGAAGAACTTCTTAAAAATGCGACTATTTAGTTGTAATTGTCAGAAACTCCCATTCATGTAATCGGACAATGCAGTTCCAAAACACGAAGATAACTGTTTACTCTGATGTGTATTCCCCAAGGCTACCCATTTTGTTGCAGATATTTCATGCCTATGCTTTTAATGTAGCTGTGTTGTCTTTGTCAGTAACTTCTTATCATTCATTCAGTCTAAATTGTCAAATGATTGCTCCCTGCAGAGTCACTGCATTCATAGAAGTTTTCTGAAAATAGGCATCCAGGTACCAAAAGAGGACTTAAGTCAACGGTTCCGGGTAGGAAAAGGAACCAGTGTTAGTTGAGCTGCTTTTAGTGGATGCCGCGATTCCAGGGGTTTCTGTATGAGACACCACATCACACAGTTTGAATATTAGCTCAGAAAATATGCATAGCTAGAAATGAACAGAGTGCCCCAGTAGCAGGAAGAATTTAGAGCTTTGGCTGTATTAGGCGTGAGATGCTGTAATGTGAGACACCCCACTCTGGGAGATCCACTGCTCACTCTTGTTTAACTACTTGAAAACTTAGTGTTTGCATTTTGCATCAGCTACAATGTTTATTATTGATAACATCAAAAATAAGGCAGTGCAAAGTGTTAGATTTGCATTTACAGATACAACTAAGTCCTTGTGATTGTTTAGCTTAGTTTGCGTGTGTTTTAGATAAGAGCTTACTAAAAGGACTTAGTTTTGCTAAAGATAAAAGCTGACTTGGGTGAAGAGTTCTGTTGGAGTGTGGCTCCATTAATTTAAAGGTCCGGTTGCCCTTTCACTGGAATTAGTATGTTTGTGGTCTCAACTTTTGGCCTGCAATGCTTGAGATGCTAGTTTGTTAATATATTTGTCCATCTCTATTTTCTAGCATTGCCACCACCTCCTCCTCCAGACTTCAGCCCTGCATTCAGCAACGTGGTGAGGATTCTGAACTGTGATGTTATGATGCACATCGTGCGAACCATTCTTCAGAGAGCAGTAGAACTGGAAACCCACTTGTGGACTGAAGCTATGATTCAAATGGTATGGTTGGCTTTGGTCTTCTTCCTGTGCTCATTCCTGTGTTGACCGTGTTAACTGCTTATGATAAGGTCAAAATGTGTAAAGATTAACTTTGAAGGATAAGAATTTACTTTTTGTCCCCAAACCTGTTTTTATAAATCTTACCAACAAAGGAAAAGACTTCTAATTGTTTGTCTCCACTGTAAAATATGATTGTGAAACACAGTAGTATTAAATGAGGAATATTCTTAATTTTCTATTTTGCTTTCTCCCATGTGTTGCCTCATCACTGAAGCTGTTTCAACATTTAATTCTCTTTACCTTCTCTTTTTATTGAAACTTCCAAGTGCAACTAAGTAACCCTTTTGATAATTTGAAAGAAATCAGAGTTCCTTCATCTTGTAAACCGCAGTCTTCAAATATGTAAATGTCTTTGGGGCCTCGTGTGTGAAGTAATATAATCTTGTTAGTGTTTAAATATTTCATTTTACCACAGTAACTTTATGCTTTAAAGAAAATGGATTATTGACACTGAAGTATTTTGAAATTTAAAAAAAAATATAGGATTAGGACCTGAATTTAGAGGCTGGTTGAATTAATCAGTTTCGTTAATTAGAGTGCATAGATTATTTAATTGCCTTGCCTTATGTGCTAGTCTTTGGATTATGGATTTAACCAAATATTCATAGATCTGTATCAACAAAATTACAAGTTTAATATGTTACTACTGTAAAGCGTGTGCAAGTTTATTAATTTTAGTGCAAGTAATATGCAGGAAAGTTATTCATTATTTCACTTTCTATGCACGATCTCTGCACTCTTTCTCATTTCTGTGTTTATCATGGGTACAATCAGCATATAGTACAGAACTGTATTAAGCATCCTTATTTTATATGCCAGTTTTCCTGGCAGACCTCTAACAGAAAATTGATTTACTTTTCACTCTCTTTTTAGGTGCTTCATCTCCTTTCTTTAGGGCTACTAGAAGAGAAGCAGCAGTTACAGAAGTCTTCAGAAGAAGAAGTGACCTTTGATTTTTATCACAAAGCAACACGTATGTTTCATTTTCTTTAAAAGGGCATAGTAAATTAGGCTAACTTGATTTTGTAAGGACAAAAATAAACTAAAAGAAACTATTCAATGATTTTATTCAGAAATGAATTACTTTTTGAAAGATTTTAAACGTGATAACGTATTTTAAAAAAAAATCAAGAAAGCAGGTTTGGACGAGCTTTGTTTATTCCTGTTTGCCAGATATATTGAAGGGGAGATGTGCTTCTCTTCCTGGGAAAGAAACGGAAAAGCAATACTGGTGTTAGATAACTGAAAATAGTTTTTCTTTCACAAGAACAGTATTGAAATGGAATCTAAGAACTTCTTGAAAAATGATAGTGGATTTAAGTGGACTGTCTCAATCTTTTGTACTCCTGAGGTGTACATTTATTGATTTACCTGAAAGTTAGTCTTCTACTATGGCAATGATAATAGAAGCAAAACTTGGTGGTTATGAAGTATGCTTTTTTCTTTTTCTTTACTTTTCCAAATCCCTACAGAACACTTCCTAGTCTTAGATTCAAGACTAGTGAGTGGGAATTGGAATCTGTATTTCCTAAATAATCTTCCATCTAGAGCTTCTGCTTCACTGTGTAAGAATAAATTAAAAAAATAATCCATTAGCAAGCTAAACATAATTCACTTGATATTTGAAACAGATAAGAATTGTGAAGTAAAGCTGCTGAACTGCCTTTATTTAGTTTTTCAAAAATGTCCTGTAAAGTGGTGTCAAACTCAGTTTGAAAAAGTCTCATTTCACATTTTTTAATTTTAAATTTTTTCTTATTGTTGAGCAAGGAGAAGTATTATCACACTGAACATATGTGTTCAAGAAGCTTCATGTCAACTACAGCAATACACTGCAGCCTCATTTATACATGAGATGCAAAAGTAATCGTTATTTTTGCAATAAAACTCTTATTGAGAAGCGATTAAAAAAATTGTGATGTATTTCTCTCACTTCTAAAAATATGCGGACTAATTTCAAATGGAAAGTGCTGTAAATAAATATGGTTGAAGAGAATGGTTTCCATTTTAAAGCATGCTTGAGTTAGAGAATGGCCTAAAATATTATGAACTGCTACCAAGGTGTGAGGAAGCAAATAATGACTGTAATTATAATAGTTTTTGTGATAGATATAAACTTGTGCACACTGAGCTGTTAGCAAACTCACGTAAGCTATAAGAGTGTTAGTTCTTCTCCTTGAAGTGAAAGGCAATTCTGGTTTTGTCTGTACTTCTGCTTTTGTAAGTAGCAAAAATTATTAATCTACAAGGGGGAAAGATTTTGCTACATTTCACTGGAATAAACAGATGAAAATAAAACAGAAATGTAACCACACAGGTTGTGTTCATGTATGTGTGTTATATCCTTAGCAATGTTTTAAGGTATGTCCATGGTTGTAAATTAAATTGTTGAGGGTTTTTTCCCTGAAGACCCATACTTTTAAAGTTTTCTCTCCTTTGTGAAGGAATGGGAAGCTCGGCCTTGAATGCTATGAGTGTGTTAATGCTTCTGGAAAAATTAAAGAGAGTTCCTCAGTTAGAAGCGCAGAAGGACACTGTCAGTTGGATACTACAGGTACACAAGGGGGAGATAAGTATGATCTCTTTTCAGTAGTAGAGAAAGCTTTTATGAGAGATGTTTTGTTTCCTATATATAACCCAGTGTTTACAGCTGCAGTGATTTCTTGAGAAGATTAATCTGTTGGAACATTTTTTGCCCCCCAGACAAGATGCAGTTTCTTGAATACTGCATTAACACTTAGAACTCATTGTACTTGCTGTTGCTCCTTTGAAGTACTGGGTCAATTTTTGCTTAGATAACTCATTCCAGGAGTGACACTTTTATACATAAACTTTATTCCTCATGTTTCTGTTGCAAAGTAGCAGCAAGTGATAAGTAAAGTTTATTAATTGGGAAAGTGTTTGAGTCTGCTTGTATTAAGACTTGAGTCATACAGATCTGACTAAAAGCCACATTGTACGTTTGACCCGTGGAACTTTTTCTAAGTCTCTGCTGCTTCGCATTAAGAGATGGGTAAAACTTCTAGAGCTCTGACACCTCCTCTAACACAGGAGACTGCCGCTTCTGCTGAGCAGGAGCACTACTGTCCTGTTCCATTCTGGGTATCAGTTCTAGGTGACTTCTTGGTTTAGGTGGCAAACATAGAAGACAGTGCTCTTGGAAAAAGAGCGTAAGAATCCATAGCAGGGTTCTGAAACTGTCCGCAGCTACTGAAATTGGACTGTACTGGTACATCAGGGAGGTAGATTTGAAAGACTGTTTTTGCGAAGTTATTCTTCTAAGATTCTAAGGGCAAAAGTAAGAAGGTACTTTAAAAAGTATATTTAAATGTATAGTAAATGTAGAATATTTTACTTTAACAGAGCTTCAAGATGCTTATTAACGCTAGCTGGAGAAAGTAGTAGATGAAAATGGAAGGCTCAGTTTTAATTAACTGGGCATATGCTGGAAAGCTTTCTGTTCCAGATGTGTAGGTTTTTTACATTATTTTAGTGACTGCAAACTATTTCCATGGGATGATCTACATCTTACCTACTTTAAATAAGCTAGCACACTCTGTCCATTCTTTCATGCACAGATGCTTTAGCTGTCTGGCAGTGTCAGTGCCAGAAGACTGAAAAATTTGGAAGAGTTTTACTTTCCTTCATATGGAGTAGTGCTTGTCTGGTTTAGGATACAGACAGCAGTGTTACAGAAGTGTCCATATAGTCTTAGTCAAATGTTTTTGTTATTTAGGAGTGTAGGCAGTTCAGCAGTGTTACAGAAGTGTCCATATAGTCTCAGTCAAATGTTTTTGTTATTTAGGAGTGTGGGCAGTTGGTTTCATCCATTTGAAAATCTGAAAATAATGTAAAACTAAATACCAAGAGCTTTAATTGTGTCTATATTGTAATAAGAGCCAAGTTGCATTTTAACATCTAAGTCTCTATTCCTAGATGTTTGACACAGTGAAAAGACTGAGAGAAAAATCTAGTTTGACAACAGTAGCAGCTACATCAGGCTCAGAAGCTGCAAAAGGTGATGAGGTAATTAAAAAAAAGTCCAGTGGAAGCCGTGTATTTAATGTTTTGAATGGCTGTTTTTAAAAAGGTGCCTAAATCTATTGTTACCTAAAATTATAATTTTAAAAATACTAATTTCTGATATATTGCCTATAAATAGGTTTGAGGTTCTAAGATTAATATTTGTAATAAATTAAATTTATGCTAAGCATGTTTTGTGGAATTATCAACAGCTAATGTGGTTTTGGTTGTACCTCCAAGTTTAGTGAAACAACTGAAGGGGATGAAGAAGTAATTTGTGTTAATTTCTCCATTTCTTATCTTTTATGATTTGATCACCTTTCCTATTGTGGTGTCATTGTGCAATAATTAGAAATACAAATCCACTTAAAATGATGTCTTGTAATTTACATGACCTACCAAGAGGTTAATCTGCTTTGCCTTGATTGTATAAAGACATCAGGCTTTGGTGATTACTCTGTCTGTGTATCACTCTCTACCCACTTCCCTCAAAATAACTTCAGAATCCAGTGGTCAAATGACACAAATGGAGATTTCAAAGATTTCTGCTGTCTCATGAGGTGGTTGTAGGTTCTTTTTGTTGTTGTTGTTGTTTGGGTTGGTTGGTTGGGGTTTTTTTGTTTGTTTTTGTTTGAAATCGGCAGTTGAATAGAAAAGAAGAATCTGATTACCCTTAGTGTGCATAGCCAGGCCAGTTTGCTACTGCACAGTAGCCTGTTTGGCTACAGCTTGCTGCCAAGCAATCTCTTGGCTGGTCCTTGCCTGCATAGCTCTAAACTTACCACAGCATTTGCTGTGTTTCTTTTTTGAGAAAGGTGTCATATGATATCTGCTAAGGTAAGAGAACAAAATACAAGTCAGCAAGAAGTGAGACTCGTGTAGTTCCACTACTTGTGGGGCAATTTGTTGTTTCATTTCCTCAAAAATAACCGTATCATGAATGGAAACGATGTTGAATTTGTGCCTTGAGTAACTGAATAAGAGGAATTAGGTTCTATATGTTGTAATTAAGTCTCCCTGTGTTTTTTGAATTTTACATCTCCAAAGCATGTAAATACTTTGTTTATAGCTTTTGAAAACGTGATAGATGAGGAAATACTGGAAGAAGAATAGTTTTCCAGTCCGTAATAAAGAAGAATAGGGGAAAATACAATCCTCAGATGTATAAAATGCTGCCACAAAAATTTAGGAAGAATCTGTTTGCTGTGTTGTCCATAGATAGTTCAAGATAAAATTTTCTTAAATTCCTGTAAGGGAGATATAGAATACTCAGTAGGGGTTTCGCTTATGGGGGCAATAACAAAACACGGGGTGAGGCTTGTAATGTTCACCTCACTAAAGTTTCTTAAGAACAGACAAGCACTTTGTGGACCCCTTGAAATCTTTCTTCTGCCGAGGTTAATGAACCTAGTCAACGTTTAAGGTTTTAGTTTTACATTTTTCAGAGAACAGTTAACTTTTTCTTATCATTAAAGTGTTGTCAGTTAAGGAATTTGCCGTCAGTGGTTAGAATGCATATAGGTGGGGAAAGATTCTTCTCATTTTTTTTATGTTCTTTGTTGCCTGTGATTTCTTGATTCTCTTTTATTGCAAGACCCAGAGCACTCAGGATAAAGAGAAGGCTGAGCGGAAGAGAAAGGCAGAAGCAGCTAGGTTGCACCGTCAGAAGATAATGGCCCAGATGTCTGCACTGCAGAGGAATTTCATTGAAACCCATAAGCTCCTGTATGAAAACACACTGGAGGCACAGGGGAAAGAAGATGCTATTATGGAGGAAGAAAGGTAAGAAAACCCAGACATCCACAATTGTGGTGGGAAGAGTTCGTTACCTGCTACGTAAGTTCATTATGCTACATAAAAACTTTTACAATATGTTTAAGGGACAGATTGTGTCATCCCAGTCAGCAAACTTGTGTCTCTATTACTTTTAAGTCATCTTCTGTTACTGAATTGTGTGTAAACTAGCATGTGTATGCTAATGTAAGAACTGTGGACTCGCCTTGTAGAGCAGCATATGATAAAAAAATGAAATTATTCAGATGGTGGATACTTACATTGCTTAACACTTAAAATGTCATTAGAAAGCGGCTGAGTTGACAACACTAATTTTGGAGGTGACTGTCTAGCTCATGTGAAAATGCAAGTATTTAATTTGTGAAGAATCTGAAAGCCAGTATGTATGCCTTAAGGTTAAGCTGCAGTGAAGAAAATATGCTTCTTGTAGCTCAAGTCACTGTTATTTCTGTTTGTTAGTTTTTAAAATCTAATTTAATACTGACGATGTTTGGTTTAGATTGGTTATGATTTTGTTGGCATGGATTGCTCCTGCTCTAGAGATGCTTCAACAGTATAGTATACCTAATAAAACTCACAATTTTGCTGTAAATTGGGGCTGCACAAAACTAATCAGAGATACCTGCTGGAGAAAAAAGTACAGATCACTTTATCTTTTATCTTTAGCAAATCGTGTTCTATAAATCATTTTTGAACTCTGGAATAAGGAATATTTTAAAAAATGTATGGAAGCTTATTGTGTCACAAAGCATTGAATAAGGTAGTGGCATTCTTTTTCAGTATGTTTTCTTCAAGAATGGGAAACAATTTTAATGTATCTATGACATTAAAATATATTTAATCCAATCTACATTGAATACAGCTTCCTGAATTTCCTGCTGTCTGAATCCATGTCATTGTGTTATTCTATGTTAGCTTGCTTCCACTTTCTATTTTTAAAAAATACTGCATTTTATTCAGGATTGAGGTGTTTCTTCATAATTTGGTCATCGTTTGGTTTTCTAAAGCACTTTGGTATAAAAACAGAAATTTTAGCAGTAAATGACATTTTTTAGATGCCTGGAAGAATGTTTGTTTAGAAAAAGCCATCTGATTGTATCTGTGTCACTTATGTTCTTACAGCATGTCTTCGGCAATTGATTACTCCAGAATTGCTTTGGGTCCTAAACGAGGTCCGTCTGTTGCTGAGAAGGAAATTCTGACCTGTATTCTTTGTCAGGAGGAGCAGGAAGTAAAGCTGGAAAGTGATGCCATGGTGTTATCTGCCTGTGTCCAGAAATCAACTGCCTTAACTCAGAATAGGAGCAGAGCTCTTGAACTCTCAGGGGGTATGTGATTTTTCTTCTTTTAGACTATAAGCAGCTCTGTACCTAAGCTCATAACCTTTGAACCTAATTAAACTCTGTATTCAGTCAAATGGCTAAATGGCTTAGCCTACCTAATAAGAAAGTGAAAAATTTTAAATTGTTCTAAGATCCATGCTTTAAAAGTTAAAAATGAAGAGTGTATGAAGATTTTGATTTGTCCAAGGAGATTAGAAAATGCTTTAACCTCACAAGAAGATTTTTATAAAACTCAGATTTGGTAGGAGTGGTCACTCTGGAAAAAGAACGTTAACAATTCCTGTTTATTCAAATACAGGAGCAAACTTTCCCAATATGAAGGAAATAGATAAACATTATCAGAGGCCAATATGGCAGCCTCAGGAGAGTGTGGGTTTTTTGCGTTTTGTTTTGTTTTAAATGCCAGGGAAGTAATAAAAATAGCAACACAAAAAAAAAAAGAGAAGTGTAAGCAAGGTTCATATTAGGTAATTTGATACAAGAGATATAAGGTTCTCTAATACAGACACGAGTTAGTTGCATAATGGCATATTGGTAGCAGGAAATGCAAAGACCAACCAGATTTTTTTTGTAATTAACAGTTAATTAAACACGAGAAAGATTTTGGTCAGTTACTTAAGGGAAAGAAAGAAAATAAATAGAAGGAAAACTTAAGTACCCACTGACTTTTTTGCTCTCTTTTTGAAAAAGAAAATTAATAACAACTCAAGATCAGATGCTTGATGGCTGTTAATTTTAACAAGAGAGAAATGCAGTCCAGAATAGGATAAGAAATGTTGAAACAATATCTGGATAACTTCAGCGTATTCACCTTGGCAATTATTGAAGTAATATTGAAATATTACTTCAATAGTACTTGAAGGCATAATATCAGAACCATTGTCTTCAGTATAATCTTTCATTATTTTTTTTAAAATGCAAAGAAGATAGCTGAGATCTCAGAGGGCTAAGAAGGGCAAACAAGTATTTATAGAAAAAGGCTACTAAAAAACACAGGAGTTAAATGAGAAAGTACTAAAAATTTGAGTATTCTGTCCACCTTGGATGCCTGAAAATATGTTGGATGATAGTATTTATTATTAATATAGAAGACTAGATAAAAAACAAAGGCAATAAAGCAGTAAAAATGTCAAAAATGGATTTGTCAAGAAAGGAACTTTCTAAGCCACCCTAATTTTTTGACCAGGTTAACTTGTCTTGTGTAAGGAGGAAGTAAGCTAATTTATACTCATGTTTATTAGAATTTTGGGCTCTGTCTTTGACTTGATATACAACCTAGGCAAATGTGGTTTTGGTGAAATCACCCCAAGGTGGATATGCATCTCATTGTAAAACTACTAGTTGGATTCAAGAACACTATAATATTAAATAATTAAAAGTTAAAAATTATAATTTATTTCCCTGTAAAATGAATTGTTTATTTTAACACCGGTAAAAATTTAAATAACTGTTAAATATTTATTAATCAATATACATTCTCTATGTATCTGCCCATATCTTCTTATAAAGATGAGTCAATCATTTTTTCAAATGCTGCTTATTCAAGCCAACTAATTTGTAAGGAATACAGATGCAGAGTTGAAAGAGAATAAAAGTGGAGGTCTATAAGCGCTCTCAAAATGTTTTTTAGTTTGTTGCCTTTGTTTAAATTTCTACTTATTTTCAAATACTTTTTTTCTGTTTTGTAATGGATTATTGTTGATTTGTGGTCAGCTCATAAAGCAAAATGAACCCTCTGTCCTATTTTTTACTGACACCACTGTCTAGAAAATAGCTTTAAGTTCTGTGTTTGTGGAGTTCATTATTCCTGCTTTAGTTTAGAATTACACTCTTGAATGTCATCAAATGGGAGTTCAGCATTGTTACCTTTCTCCAGGTTATTACCCTGTTCTCTATCATACTTTCAAACCTTTATCAAGTTGTTTCACTTAATAAGACTTTTTGTGTTTCCTCCTCTGGGTCATTAACAAATACTGAATAGTCCTAGGCCCAGGACAGACTCCTGGAGAATCCTGTTTGATCCATTTTTCTTTTTAACAGTGAACTACTGATAATGGCAATTTTGAACCAGCTGTATAGAATTTTTATCTAGGCCATGTACTAATTGCATCCTTTTTTTTTTTTTTTTTCCCCTCTCTTCTGTGGTATTCTTAAGTGTAAATAAAATCCTATGCTCTTGTAGTCAGATACACTTGCAAGCTTTCTGGAGTGACATGCTGGGCTGTTGAAATAATTGAAAAAAGAAGGGAACAAAGTTCCTTTTCCTCAAGCCCCTTCTGGATATTATTTATAGCACTTACTCTCTGCTGCGTGGTCCTCTGCAGCTCATCAGGTAGAAGTAGGCCTGTGAGAGCTTTTTTTCTTTGAAGATCTAAATAAGTGGAAAAATGCTTGTTCCCACAGCAGAAGTGCAGACAGTGGCGAATTACTGTTATATCAAGGTTCACTTTCTTATTTCAGTCTCTATTTGATATAGAGCAGCTTCAGCTTTTTCACCTTTTCTCTTTCATTTTGTCAAATTCAGGGGTATCTGTTCAAAATCATGCACAGCCCACCAGATGAGGTTTGGAGAACTGCAGTATTATTTAAGATATCTTAAGGGGAAAATGGGATCTCACTTGGAGTGCATGTGCAGCACAAAGACACCATTACATTCTCATAACATTTTTGCTGTTAAGAATTATGCAAAATTAGTGAAATATAGACTTTGTTATTCAGCAGTGCTGTTCATATCAGTGGTTTGAAAATCTATGGGATTAGTTGGAGAAATGCCTAATCTTTCTTGTCCTTAGCACTTTCATCTTTCATTTAAAGAATAGAATAACACGTTAAAAACTTCAGGGGTAGCAAATCCAGCCACAGAGCTATTCCAGTACTGAAGAAGTTTTTTTGGTTTTTTTAGCCAATTTACTACTGCTTTTTGGATTTTGTCATCTTTTTCTTCACAATTACTGGAAAGTCTTCAGCAGTTTAAGTGGACTCTGACTTGCAGTTGCTTTGTTGGGTATTGGCTATTGGAAAGGTAGTCAAGTGGGGTTTTAATGGGACTGTGTGAGCTGTAGGAGAATATAATCCAAAGGCTTGTGTTCTGAGTATACTGTTGTTCATTTCTGTTCATACTGATGGGAAGTTATGTTATTGTTCTTTCAGTAATTTTTCTGCTGTGTCTTTCTAGATACGGTAGATCCTCTGTTCATGCACCCTGACTTACCCTGCGGGACGCACACAGGAAGCTGTGGCCATGTGATGCACGCAGCCTGCTGGCAGAAGTAAGGATGTGTCTTTGCAGCTTTTAAATGTTATTTTAATTAATCTGTTTGCCAAAACATCCAAGTGCACACTGAAAACACAGTACAATAAGTGGATATTTAATTAAGGAGTCAAAATCATTTGTACTCATCTAAAAATGAAATAGGCGCAAGAGAAGTTTTGACCTGATGAAAATCATAATCAGAACTTTTTAGTGGCTTCAATGACCCCAAGAAGAATCTCTAAAGAGTACTAATTTATGCAAATAAAACCAATGGCGTAGAATTGGTCAAGAATAAAAAAGCTGTATCTAGTAGGCTGATTTTTAGCAATCCAGTGAGAACCAGTAGGAATCTTCCCGGTGACTGTTCTGTAGCAGCAGTACTTTGACTCTGAAAGTCTGTCACTAGGCACTTAAAGTATGAAGCTGACCTGTTCAAGTGAGTCTTTAGATGAGAATCTGGCGTTTAGAATAGAATATGAATGGTTAAAACTGCCAGTATTTCTTCCCCACCCCTCTCCTATCGGTGAAAAAACTCAGACTAAAAAGTAGAACGGAAGAATTGATATAGTGCTTAAAAACTTTACTAGATCTCTGTTGTTTGGGGGAGCCCACAATTTAGACCAAGTGTGTTGGATTAGACTGCAACCTGAAATATTAAAAGATCAAGTTACTTATCTTGCAGAATATAGTCACCCTGGTTGCAGCTGCATTTGTAGGATTACAGAGAGCAAAGCTAACACTCTCTGCATTTGACTCCACGTAGGTCTGGCAAGTCTAAAGAAGGTAAATACAGTGAAATAATAATAGAAATAATCCCACTGAGGTATTATCAACAAATAGAGTTGGGTCATGCAATTGCAAGCTACTTTGTATTGTTGTATGATATAAATGATGTCTTGAGGTTTGTTGTTTGTACTTGTGCCATTTCACTTTAAAAAAATCTGACTAAACTTCTAGTGCTTATTTACTTTTCTATATATATATTTTTTTTTTTTACAATAACACATCAGTGCAGAATAGGTGCACACACTTAAAATGGTACAGAAGTATGTTCCTTGAGTATAATACATCTGCTCTTGGCAGATCCATCTACATCTACGTAGATCTAAGTAGTGCAACATTGGAGCTCGGTTCCCTTGCTCTTTTTAAGAAATGATGACTTGCTGTATGGGTAAATGGGATTAAAATGGACAACAAGCTCTTCTCATACGGGATGGCACAGAAGGTTTGAGTATAGTCTTTTATTTATTACATAACAGACATTCTAACTTACTAATATTCCTCCAAATGATGCCTTGCTGCACCTTTCCAGAGTATCTGTGCAGCCTAAAAACACTGCAGAATACTGTGTGTTCAGGTGAATGGGATATCTTTGTAGTTGCCATGTATGAGGAAGAAGAGTTGCTTGCAAAAACATAGTTGTTTGAATATGGGAATGTAAATGTATGTTCTGTTAATTGTAACACAATATTTTCCTAAATATTCTGTAATCATTAGAACTTCTGCTGATGTCCCCATGTGCCCACTTTCTCTTATTACATAAATGGGATTTTATTTTTCCCTTAAGATGTGATTTAAAGAAAAAAAAAAAATCTAGTTATTACCTCAGTGCGAGAGTTAGATAATTTTGTGTCTGTCTTTAAGATCCTACATACCCAGTCTGAACACTAGTACTGAGTTTAGCTGCTTGTATCCGGGCAAGAAGATTTGAATGTTGGATCTTTTTGTTCCTAATAGTACCACTGAGACATTAATGAAATCTCAAGCCTCCCTGCATCCACTGAGAGGGCAAAATTATGATGAAACCTGTAAAAAAGATCGTAGTTATTTCTTAGTTTCCTTTTGAGTTTAAAATAACTTACAATATCACACTTGAGCTATCCTCGCTTCCTGCTAAAATAAGGCTGCAGGTTCATTGTTTAGTCATGAGGCTCAGCGGTGCCTTGAATAGCTGATAACTCATTCATGGAATGTTATTGGTAGTTTTTCCTAAAATTAAATAAAAATATGTACAATCCCTCTTTCAAACTTACTGTAATGAGTTGCATATGAGAGATACTAGATACAATGTTTCATTTTTTGGATGATGTGAGAGAAGAGTAGGAAATTCAAGGATGGCTTTTCTGTTAAAATGTTAATGAAATTTAAAGGGATCTTTAAAAGCAAGGAAAAACTGCTGTCATTTTTGCACGAGTGGCATACCATGCATTTTTGCATGAGTTCAGCTGTGTGCTCAAAGGTTTTATTTTTTTTTTCAAGCACATGAAAGAGTTATAAATCAAAAGACAAGACTTGTTTGTTCGCTTGAATAGGTACTTGCTAGATAACAACACTTCTAATTACTTGAGGATTTATTTTCACGTCACATTTGAGCCATTCCGCTTTCTAGTAATTTCCTTTTCAATATTGTAGGTACTTTGAAGCCATGCAGCTGAACTTTCGACAACGTCTGCATGTTGAACAGATATTTGACTTGGAGAATGGAGAGTATCTTTGTCCACTTTGCAAATCACTGTGCAATACTGTGATTCCTATCGTTCCATTGCAGGCTCAAAAAATAAACAGGTGAATTACCAGATTGCATAGTCTTTAAATTAAAAAACAAAACACAAAAACCCCCCAAAACAAAAAACCCCACAACCAAACAACAACAACAACAGCAAAACCAAAAATGTATTTGGTGTGGGTTGGCTTTTCAGATTTTTGGAAGGAAAATTTAGGCTGGCCTTCCTAATCTATGTAAAAGACTGCATATCTCCTTATTGACTATTCAACCAAATACACTGCTTTTGGCAGTCAATTCTTTCTTTGTTTTTTTTAAATGCATTTTTAGATTGGCTATTTTTGGAGCTTATATGAAATGAGCAAGTATCTAGATCTAGTGTTTAGCCTAACGCTTCATTTTGTGCTGTTTGCTCAAAATTTACAAAGCCAGCAAAACTGGGCAAATACTGAGTTAATGTGTTTTGGTCTAAATGTGTCCTCTGTTTTTAAAGTTAAGGTGATTCTTCGAGTGTTAAAGTAAAACCTGCTTTTTATTTCTGTTCTCAGTGAGGATGCAGAGGCAGTAGCTCAAATTCTGTCCCTGGCTAGGTGGCTGGACATTATCGTAGTCAGGATATCGGGCTACAGTGTGAAAAATGCTAAAGGTTTGTTATCTTAATTTTGAAGGTGTTCTGTGGGATATCTAATATGCCAGTACATGTTTTAACTAATACCAACAGAAGACTTCAAATAAAGGATACATTTTGCTATCAATCATGACAGTATCAGATAAGGCTGGGGATAAGGTCATGGCCCTCTCTGAGCTGATATCTTGATTTCACAGTGCCCTTGCCAATTTTCTGGTTTCAGTTAAATTCTTTTTGTCTTTCGTGTGGAAGAAAATGATGTACACTAGGAGATCATAGCCACCAGTTAATACTCAGAGTTAATCAAACTTTTGTGTTGTGACTGTGATGTAGTAAAAAAGATAAAAATGAAAAGGGCCAAAATAAAAACACGTGCGAGTGTTTAGAAAACTGAAGGTACAGAGAATTAGCATATTCCTTGCACTCTTACAGGGCAGGAAAGTTCTTTTTCCGCACCAGAAAAGCACTAGTTTTAATCCTCATATTTCTGGTAATAGAAGGAAATGCTACTTAAGGAGGGTTAGAAGACTGTCTGGTGAGGAGTGTTTTCAAACCAGTTTAAAATAAAAATAAGTCTTACTTCTGTTAGATTGCTGTAAAAATTGTAACAACATCTTTGGTTTTTAATATGGATCTAATTTCTTTTTTCTGGAAGGAGAGAAACCAAATCTTCCAGCTTTCGCCAACAAGGGTATGGGGAACTCTGCTTTGGAATTCCATTCCATCCTTAGTTTTGGAGTTCAGTCCTCGTAAGTGTTCCTGGAATTGCTCTTTGCATTGTGTTAATTCTCCCTAAAATGACCTAGGTATACTTCAGGATTTGTATTGAAGCAAAGGCGTATGACTTGTTTGGTCTGATTATGGGCTTACTTACACTTCTGCTTAAGCATTTGCTGAGTATCAGATCTATACTGAGCTAGATGGACTTCTTGGTCAAATCCAGTCAGGTAGTTCTTATGTTCTTGGTACAAAGCTAGGAGTCTGGAGTCTGCTGATCCACAATTCCAGTGATTTGGGTCATTTCCTGTGCCTTTACGCAAGTTATTTAATGTCTGTCTGCCTTAATTTTCCTGCTACAGGTGTGTTTCAGGGATAGATTTCACTTGGGTTTGGATGTAATAACATAATATAGAGGACTCAGAGGAATAGGGCTGTGGTGCCTGTTTCTATTCCATTGGGCAAACTGCTGCTACAAACATTCTGCTACTTCTGACTGGCATCATAGTTATGCAAAGTGCTTATCTGCTATTTGTAAAAATGTCATCAGAAAGTTGAATCTAAATCTTTAACTCCTCTCTGTGGGAGAGATTCAGTAGCTTGCACTTAAACAGTGCGGTGTTTAAGTACAAGCCTGGCTAAACCCCAGACTTTGTGGTACAATTGTTCTGGCTGTAGAGATTTGGAGAATTAATATGAATGTTGTATAGTTCTGTTAGTAAGTTATGAATGTATGACTTTGAAAAAACACAAGCCATTAAAACTGTATGTGTTTTTGCCTGCGCACTTTGCTGCTTATTACTGCATTTACCCAGTCTCAGTTGAAAGCAGCTTAAATGTTAAAAATTTTTGTTTTAAAGCATATTTGAAATTTCTTTCTATTTCTAGTGCCTTATGAGATGGGATATATTTTCGCTCCAGCACTTACACTTGCTTGCTCATGTTTGATTTTTTTTTTTTCATTGTATTTTATTTTGGTTAAAATGTTTGTATTTTTTGACTGCAAATTATAATATAGTATGTAGAACTCCAGCCTGGCAGCTCTTAATGTCTCCATTTGTAGAGCCTGTTATGTCAAGGTACTTGTTTACTCCTGGAAACTAGTAATTATTTTCTCTTCTGTACAGACAAAGGGGCTTTGTATTCAAGAATTCTTTCATAAATAACTTAGACTTTGCTAGTGATTGATTGACTGGTAAGTGATAAGCACTATTAATAATTCAGACTGAAGTTGTCTTCTCTTGCTTTTGCAGAGCCAAATACTCAAGCAGTATCAAGGAGATGCTTATTCTCTTTGCCACCACCATTTATAGAGTCGGGCTAAAAGTTGCTCCGAATGAAGCTGATTACCGGATTCCTATGATGACCTGGAGCACGTGTGCTTTTACCATCCAGTGTATCGGTAAAGCATAATTTGGATTTATTCCTTCTCGTGACTTGAAAATCTTATGGTTGTTTAATTGTATAATCTTATACAATCTGATTTTTCTAAATAATAATAGTTCTACATAATTAACAGCAAGATGTAATAATATATCTATATATATATATGTAATGATATAATAATAGACTGATAATTTATAATCCAATATGAATAATAGGATGTTTTTGTTAGAAGGTGGTTCACAAACTAAGGTACGGAATCTCAACATTGAGCTTGAGAGAGCAGGGAGTGATCATGTTCCACATTACTAATGGCAACATTAATTATGTTCAATGAATATCGTCAGGCTGCCAAAGACCATTGACCTGGAGGCATCTCCTACCCAGCTAAATATCTAACAGCTCTGAAATAGTACTCCATCTCTCATTATTTCTTTTTTGTCTCTATTCTTGAAGAATTTAATGTAATTTGTAGAAGAAATAGGGACTTTAGTATTCTGAAATTGCTAAGCAGATACCTGTCAGGAAGAAAACCCACCAGACATTCTTGGGCATTAATTTCTTTTTGAAGGCAAAATAATTACCATAAAAATGGTTGCGTTTTTTGGGCTAATGTACCTGTTTAGCAGTCAGTCTCATTTCATTTCTTGGTGGCTGTCAGGGAAGAGTTTGCCAGCAAGTGTATAAATGCAGTAACTGTTATCATATATGTGATATCAAAGGCATATGTCAGAAGCAGAAAAGTCAGATGCCTTACCAGGCCAAGACTATAAAACCAGAGGGGCCAGGGTGACAGTCTGACCTATCCTAGGCCACACCACTTCTTTGGGTTAATTTTTGTTTACAAATAGAGCAGGCTTCTGTGAAATTGCAAAGCAAAACTGCCTACGCAGCTTCTAGTACTCTGGTTTTGAATCTAGTCATTGGGTGTGTTATTAAAACCATTTAACAAGCTTGTAGCCAAGCTGCCTAGACAAGGAACCTTAGCTACCTGTGTTAGTGGAGTCTCTAGGGGAGGTTCAAAGCAGCATCGACCCAAGGGATGTGAATTGCTTTTAGTGCCTAAAGCCAGACAGAAATACAAATCTGACTTTTCTCATGTTTCCTCAACAACTCCCCACGTTGCATGTTAAGCTGATGTATTGAAGTGCTAAGTTAAAGCACTTTGATTTTTTGTTAGAGGTAGTTAAAAAACAAAACCAAAAACCTCCCAACCAAAAAACCTCGAATGAAAACAATAAAAAAAATTCCAAGATCTTGAGGTGCACTGATTTGTCTCTGAGAAGTGACTAAAGCCCAAAAACATTTCAACTGACAACTTTTTACTCAGCTGAGTTAATTTGGTTTCATATTTTTATTGGCATATTGTCTCTTTATTATATTCTCAGAAGTGATGCACTCAGGGAGGAAAGCTGAATTGTATTCCAGCTTGGGAATTTTGTTTTCAAAATATTTTTGTAAAATTGTAGTCAAATGCAGTAGTGCAAATCTGAGGGTAAGATGGCCGTGTAGCATCCCTGTGAACATACCTTGATGTTTTTGAGCATTGTATAAGGGTAACTGGAAATACAACTAAATCCATAGAGTGTCTTAGCACCATTCATGTGAAACAGTGTTCCTTTTAAATCCCTAGTCAGCAAGATCTGAAAACCAAATGTTTTTAAAAAGCTTGTTACAACCATTTATCTGGGAAACAGTACCATTTAAGATAGATATTTTTTTTCTAAAAGATAATTCTTTTATCAGAATGAAATTGATCTTTAAAGAGAAGTACATATACTAAGAAGAAATCTTTTACTAAGTGTATTCTAACAGAAATGTTATGTTAGTTCCTATAGAACAAAGCAACATATTTTTTTCTGTGTTTAATTTTAAGAAAACCTCTTGGAAACGGAGGGCAAGCCTTTATTTGGATCTCTACAAAATAGACAGGTATGGGCAAGTAAGATATGCAATACATTATAAAGAAATAAGTTTAAGTATAATGCACACACACACATAGAAAACTTACTGTTGAGACGGTAAGATCATTCTCGTCTGAGGGATAGCTCTCAAAAATGTTTAGATTGATAACCTGAAGAGCATTTTGGAAGAATAAATATTTCTGCTTATATATGGAAGTTCATATTAAATTCATTTATCAGTGTGCTTTCTGTTTGTAGAAGTAGATATGTTTTTGCAGCTTTATTTCACTATTCTGTCTTTCTTTTTTCCTGTCTGATGATTTTCTCTTGCGCTCTAGCACAGTGGCCTTAAAGCATTAGTGCAGTTTGCAGCTGCTCAGAGAACAACATCACCCCAGGTCCTGATTCAGAAACATCTGATTCGTCTTCTAGGAGGTATTGTATTTCTTTTCTTTGCTGCCTTTTGTGTTGCAGAAGTTTCTATTGCAAAATGGCACACACATTAATACAGTATAGGAGCAAAGGCTAGACTACTGACAACAGTGCTAATGTCAATTTCTCTAATGTTGCCTTAAATCATGGAGTATTGCTTGAACTGTAAGTCATCAATAATTCTGTTAAGCCAGCCCTGTATCACTGAAATCCTCAAAAAATCCTCTATCCCAGATTTCCTAGGCCTGGAGATACTCAGATCTGTAATATTTATAGACGGCTAACAATCTGTTTCTGGCAGCGTTCAAAATTACTGAAATTCTGTGCTAAACAGGTGGATTAAGTAACAAAACAGGGTTTCTTCTCTCTTATTTGTGAGACTTGATCTTTTTAGTACTTTCAAACAGCTGCTTACAGCCTAGTTTAAGGTATTTTAGTCTGAGGGATAACCAATTGGTTGGGCATGTGGAAGTAGCTAAACAGATGCACAATCAATTAAGTGGTAAGCAGTTAATTAAATAGATACTTCCTTAGTTCAAAGACCTGGACTTTTTTTTGATGAAACACAGAAATCACAGAGGTTCTAAATTCAGATTCTTATATTGCAGTTCAATCTGAAAGAAGAAAATACATATCAAATTCATAATTGATATCTTTATTTTGTAGTTCTTCTACCAAACTTTAAAGCAGAGGACACTCCATCCCTCTTAGAAGTTGATATGTTCCACGTTTTGGTAAGCAGGTTCATTTTATTCTTCATATTAGTACTTTTTTTTTTTTTGAGCGTGGATCTTTGTGTACTTTACCCTGTAGATAGTCCTGCATTATTTGTTCACGTGCATGAGTCAAATGATTATACATGACCACTGCATACAAGCAAAAGGTTACATATGGCTGCTATATGTGTGTTTACTTTCAGTTCTGTTAGTTCTGCTGCCCTTCTAGCTTTCACGTCTTTGCTGTCTCACTAAATTTCATGCTTGCAATCTCAGTCATCTTTTTACCACTTCTGTTGATACCAAACCTTCAAAATAACCTGAGAAATGCACCCACTCAGACCATTTCCCTCACTTTCTCTTTGTCTCAGCAGGCCTCTCAGGCCTTCTGGTTCCCCACTCAGACCATTTCCCTCACTTTCTCTGTCTCAGCAGGCCTCTCATGCCTTCTGGTTGTGTCACATTCACTCTCACTACCTTCTTAGCCTTTTCTTAGCCTCTCTGTTGTTAATACAAATACATATTATACCTTCTTCTACTGATAAAAAAAAAACCAAACAAACAAAAAACCACAAGTCCACACAAGAGAAAAGCCAAGAAAACCCAATCAAACAACAAACCAAATCCACCAAAATAAAAGCTAGTTTGCCCTAACTAGTGCTTGGTTTAACTAATTTGCTAACTAGTGCTTGGTCTGGCTTTGCACTCTTTTCTATGTGCTTTGTCTTATGTTAAAAACCAGAAATTAAGCTTTCAAGGAACTGGACAAAGTTTCTTGGTGTATCTCTAAACTGGCAATTACAATGGAACTACATCTGAGTTTCTTACATGCTAGAGGGGCACAAATGGTTAGTATTTTCCAATGACTTTTTGCCACACTTTGTGAATTAAAGCTAGCAAGATTAATGAAAATATCTAAATTGACTGCAGAAATGAAATACATCTGTATAGTGAGAATATAATTTATTACCCATGTAGCTATTTCCAAATTTCTGCTACTTTAATATTTGCTCCTTCCCTTTCTCTGCAGGTGGGAGTTGTGTTATCCTTTCCATCTTTATACTGGGAGGATGCTGTAGACTTGCAACCTTCATCAATTAGTTCAGCCTATAACCACCTCTACCTCTTCCATCTGACAACACTGGCACACATAACACAAATCGTCGTCTCTTCAGCAACAGGTAGAGGTGTATTTGGGTTGGATTATTCTGGCTTTTTTACACAATTTCTTAAAAATAACAGATGGACACCATTAGTGTCTTCCAGGTATAAACTTCCTCATAATAAATGACACTTAGTGCCAGGTAGTAATAACTGCTTTCTGGTAAAAAAAATAAATAGCACTACATAATTTTAAGAGCATTGTATTATATCACTTTTGTGTGCTTAGCCCAAGAACACAAAATAGTTATTGATACACCAGTGCTTGATCAAGTCAGTCATTCCAGAGTGGTAACTTCCCCTCTTCACTTGTAGGAGAAGCAAAGCTCTGCCCAGCAGCAGCACCCTGAGCTGTACCGTGACAGTTAGTACGGATTTGGGAAATAAACTTTTCTTTACCCTTCAACCCAATAAATACTTGTAGCCAAAATATGAAATCCTCTAAACTGATAGGAGAGATGATGTTCACTTGTCTCTGTATTTTGTACTGCTTTTAAAAACTGTCAGTAATCTATGGACTTTCTAGCTACTACTTTTCCTTTTTCTTCAGCATGATGGGAAGTGAAAAAAAAACCCCAAACCTGTAGCTCAATCTATGTAGGACAATTACTTCGAAAGTTCAAGGGAAGGAAGCAGTTTTAACATGAGGATGAGCAATGAGGCAGTAATCCTGATTCTTTATAGCATGCAGTTTTAGGAGAACATTTGTTAGGTTAAAAGCAGCAAATGGAAAGGAACTAAGCAAAATAAAGTGGGAACACTACTATAATGCAATTTTTTTAAAAAAAGCTCAGTTTATGTAAAAAAAGAGAAGTATATCACAAATGAAGTGCATTTACAGTGGGACCCGTCTTTTTGTGTGCAGAATCCACTTCTGCGCGATCATCTGACAACAGTGAGGAGGCAAGATCTGCGCAGTCTTTCTGTAAAGAGATTTGCCAGTACACCAGTGGGTAAGTAGCAGTTCAGTTACAGCATTGCATTTTCCTAGGATGGCAATCCACGGGGGTTGACCTGAACAACACAGAAAACAGGAAAAAAATTATCCATTTTGTATGGGGAGTTAGCGCAAGGCATTGTGCTAACTCCCCGTACTCCTGAACACTGAAAAAAAGGAAACTGGTGAAAGGAACAGTTTCAGTTAAAATAGCTACTTTTTGTGGACAACAGAGTAAATTATTAGTCTAAGGATGATAAAATACCTATATCCTTTCTGGAGAGAAAAACAACCACTAACTATTGTAGGTATTTTTAATTTGCCTTGATTGGGTTTTTTAGATTTCTCAATTATAGATAGGAGCAAGAAAAGAAGGAAATGGTTCTACTGTAAAAAGGAGAGAAGAGTAAAGCTAAACACAGCTGCTTTTTTGTTTGAGTATTAGTGCCCATCTTTGCAGACTTTTTGATACCTATAGCTACAGACTCTTGAGCACTTCGGCATGTGTTTGAAATAAACTAGAAAATATGGATGCACTCTCTACAAATTCTGCTTTTATTTATCCTACACAAGACTAGTTGTAAAAACATGTTTCTCAAGGTTTGACAACGCTACTCACTTGTCTAAAAGTTTGAAGTCTAAATTTCTAAATATTTAAAATTTGGCATTTAATAGGAGTAACTTTTCTGAGGTTACTTTTCTAGTTTAAATGAGGTTATCTTCAGTTACCTAGAGATGGACAGCTATGTATTGGCTATTTATTTTTTATAATACTGAAAAATATAAGTTGAGATAACTTGAAGGCTTAATGTAAGTGTTCAGCATAGCCTTAGCACTCATTCCTTAGGCAAAGGGAAAGTTGGAAGTTAGGTGCTGGTGGCTGTTTTACAGAATTTGGGGTACATCAGTGTTGCCTTTGTACCAATGCTAGCCAAAATGTGAAAGTGCTAGAAGGATTTGCACTGTGAACTACTTCAGCTATTTCTCATTTGTGTATTACAGTTGCTTTAGTCAGGATATCCCAGGCTGGCTTGTGTGGGATCGTGTTAAAAAAGGCATCATGCCTTACCTTCGTTGTGCTGCTTTATTTTTTCATTATTTGCTGGGAGTTTCTCCACCTGAGGAGCTACTACAAGGTAAATATGAGAAAGAAAATGTATCTATATATTGACTTTGCTTACTGTTTTCTTGGAAGAGTGGAATTTTTAAATGTTCACAAGAACTTAAAAATAGTTAATATATTAAAGTAAGACTTGGAAAGAAAAGGAAATAGTAGTTTGTATAGGAAGGAGCGGGCATGAGAAGATGAGTTGTCTCGGCCTTCTTTGCATGGAAAAGAGTAACTTCTGAGTATGTGCAAATAAGTGAATTATCAATGATGCACTGACAGTAAGTATTTATGGATACAAAGATTCTGTGGTTTAAGGATAATTCTATGGGCTTAGCTGCATCACCTGAGAAATAGCCTGGAGTATATTTAAAAAAAAAAATAAAACCAAACTTTTTTGTGAAGTTGCTAATGTTGGTAAATGCCAAAGACAGAGGGATTCAGCAAAACAGAGCCAAGTAGAAACTTATAAAACTTAAACCTCTTCCCTAAAGGAGACTCATGCACTACAGATGCTGAATCCAAAAATAAATATTTTGTCTTCTGTCAAAATGCAGTGAAACAGAGAATTATCAACTATTTGCAAAGAAGGACCAAAATTGCTGTGAACAACTGAGACAAAGCAGAGCATTTTAAATTGATTTATATAACCTGTAAACTAAGCTTGAGTTTAATTAGGATATACAAGTCAAAATTTCTGCACTTTGGGATATGCTATTGACCTTACCATTAGTCTGGAAATTCGATTCTACACGGAGGAGTCTTGCTGGTGAATCAGCAATGCCGTTTTCTGTAGCAAAGCCAATAAATGACCACCCAGCAAACTATTCAATTAGCCCAATTTTATGTAATGTGATCATAGCAAAATTTAATATAATTGCAGGCCAAAAGGATAGTGAAAAGCTAAAATGTGGTAAGTACAGAAATCTGCTGCACTAATGTGTTACATATTATGCAGTAAAATGGAACTTAAGCAAGAAGTTCTGTTTTTGCAGTGACTTATGCATGACTTAAAAATTACTTAATAACATATGTCAAAAACTTAAAGCAGATCCTCAGCAAATTCAAATTATTGTAGCTCTGATTAAGTCAGTGGAGTTACATCCAATTGTACTAGCTAGGAGCTATGCCGAAGCTATAAGATGCGTATTATTCAATGGAAGAGGGACCAGGAGATGTCTAGCTTTGAGTGAATTATTCAGTAACGCTGAAACACTTTAACAGTTTCTCATGTTTTCTTTTTCTTTTGCAGTTTCTGAAGAAGGGCAATTCAAGGCACTTTGTAGTTACCTCTCTCTACCTACCAATTTGTTCCTGCTCTTCCAGGAATACTGGGACACAGTAAATCTACTGCTCCAAAGGTACTAATGGGAATGGGACAGGCCATGTTTTTCTCTTGTGATGGCCTTCTGGGAATTCTGGATCAAATTTGTTAATAAATGATTGAGCTCAAATTCAGCTAGAGTTCTAAAGATGTGTTTGATGTGCACACATATACTGAATCTCTTAAAATACTTTAGAAACATAAAACATTCAGTATTTTCTGGTAATTCAAACATTAAACAATTATAGTTTGAGACTAGTGCGTGCAGGCCTACATGGAGTCATTCATGCAGAAGGAGTTATCATAAACCTTTGCATGTATGGTATGCCACTTACTGTCCATTGGCCTGGTTTTAATCTGTCTACAGCAAAAGTGCTGACTACACAAGCTCTAAAATGAGAATATGGAAAATCTTGTTGCTGGCCGGGTGAGGCTTTGTGCTATTTCTTCTCCGGAAATTGTTCTCAGTAAATAAATAAATGGTTAAATTCTCTATTCAAAAACACAAGTTAAAATAAACAGACACTCCCCACCAACTCTGAGAATAATCCTGCTATAGTGTGTTGGAGAATGTCTCCATGTACCAGATGTGACCATCTGAGCACTTGGTTGCATAAATTATTATTCCTTGTTCTTGGCAGAACTCTCTGGCTCACACCAGCTTTTTCTGGATTTTTTTTGCCTCTATTCTGTTTTTTTGTCTAGATTCCTTCAATTTAGGGACACTTTGAGCTCTGAACCCTAAACAATTCCCTACATACAATTTTACTATAATTAATTGCGCTTGTAGGATATATAATTACTTGTAAATTAATATCATTTTCATAAGTGAATTATTTAGTAAGTTTGCCTTATATATTCCTACATGGGCCTACAGGAGAGCTGGGGAGGCACTCTTCATCAGGGAGTGGAGTGATGGGATGAGGGGTAACGGTTTTAAGATGAAAGAGGGTAGATTTAGATTAGATATTAGGAAGAATTTTTTTTCCTGTGCCAGTGGTGAGGCAGTGGCCCAGGTTGCCCAGAGAAGCTGTGGATGCCCCATCCCTGGAGGGGTTCAAGGCCAGGCTGGATGAGGCTTTGAGCAACCTGGGCTAGTGGGAGGTGTCCCTGCCCATGGCAGGGGGGTGGAAACTAGGTAATCTTTGAGGTCTCTTCCAACCCAAACCATCCTGTGATTCTATGATTATGTTTGCTGAGAGACATAGCGGTGCTTGTAAGAGAACACAGAGGGTAGGTGCTTGTGAATATTAGAAAATGATAACTCAAGGCAAGGCTAACAAGTCCATCGTCGTGTTCCCAGTCAAACCCAGAGGTTTCAAGTAGGAGGCCTAGTAATTTAAAAGGAACAGTTGTCAAATCATCATGCAAGTTCCCATATGTTTCTTGAAAGAATCTTTTTGCAGAAGACTAAATTTGATGATTGTTGAGAAATGTGTTAAATGAAGCTTACTAGATTGACCATCTGCTACAGTTCTCTCTTCTCCTTCTTGTAGAAATATCTTAAGATACCTTTGACATACCAGTTCCTGTTTACTAATTTGCCAGTGGCTGCCATTGTTCTAGTAGACACATTTGGCCATTCTGTGCAAGTGTATGGCATGCTGTAAAGCATTGTACAGTAAGCGTTGGGTGATGGTTATTAAATAAAAGCAATAAATATTTTCCTAGTAGAGTGTATGATATTTTCTTGGGCTGTGGCTTTGAGCAGATAAATTCTAAAAGGAGCTGCCTATTGTAGCTCACTTGGAGAACTTGAATATGTCTGAAGGCTTCTTGCATTTTTAAATGCTGCGTTAACTCTGTGTTTTCATGTGCATGTGATAGTTTTAAGCATTGTTGTTTTCCACATAGGTTTTGCTCTTGTATACCAACTTAAATTCTTCTCCTGAAGCACAACTGTAAGAATAGCGGTTTCTCCTTGTGAAGTTTTGGCTAGAACTGTCAATGTTTTATCTGTGCTCTGTGTTTGCTTATTGATAACTATTTAAGTTCAGTGATCCTAAATCTGTATTATTATCAAACATTGTCATCTGCAAATATTTGTTTGAAATAGGTGGTGTGCTGACCCAGTGGTGTTAAGTTGTTTGAAGGGGAAAAGCATTGCAATAAGGTAAGCTTGTTGGTTTTTTTTGTTGTTATTGTTTTTTTCTTCTGTTTTTGACTTAAAACTGTTCAAAGAATGAAGTGCTTGTTGAGCGTAAATTGGAGCGCTTGTATTTGCTTCCTCTTGCTCTACTACCAGAAGTAGGTTTCTCTTTAAATGGTTATGTATTATTCCTCATGCAGTGACTCTTCATTGAGAATGTGTAACATTGTTAGACAAGTTATCTAGCTTACTCTAGGAAAAAACAAATGCTAACTGAAATGTGAAATGCTTCATATCTGGGGGTTACATATGAAATTTAATTCCATCACCTTTGCTGGAATATAGAAATGCTGAAGCTCCCATGTATAGCCTCTCACTTGGGCTTCTAGGACTGAAGAGTTGCTCTAGAACTGCAGAAGTTTGCAGAAAGGACCGAAAGCTTAGTAAGATAGTGATTTATAGCGAACTATTCTGTTCTTTGCTGCAATCTTTATTATTCTCATAATAGTTCTTTTGCACTTACCCAGGTATCCTAGGAAAAGAAATAGTTTAATAGAGCTTCCTGAAGATTATAGCTGCCTTCTGAACCAAGCCTCTCAGTTTAGGTAAGATGTGACGTATTTAGTTGTCTTCCTAGGTGTTTTGTCACTTTTAGTCACTTTTACATTCTTAGAGTTACTGTAACTGGTGTTAAAACTATGTACAGAAATTATTTTTGTAGAAGTGAAGGCACTGCTTACAGTTATCCTGGCCAATATGAGCACACATTAATTTTAAATCTGTGTTGTGGTTTAAAGGCCACCACACAGCTTCTTGCTAAAAACCCTGCAGCTGAGGCAAGGACAGGGAGGGTTCACTCACCTCTTACGGTTTTCCAGCAACTGCTCCAGTGTGGGTCTCTTCAACAAAATTCACAGCCTCTTTGGGCACAGTTACTTACTCCAACACAGGGTCTTCCACAGGCTACATCTGAATAAACTGCAGGCAAGCTCTGCTCTTCGTGGGCTGCATGGGCTGGTCCAGCCTGGAGCTGGGGAAACTTCCAGCAGCTTCTCACAGGGGCCATCTCCAAAGTGCACCGCTGCCCTGCTACCAAACAACCTTGGAGCTGGGGGAACCTTTAGCAGTTACTTACAGGAGCCATCACTGTAGCCCCTCCCCTGCTACCAAACAAAACCCATCACGCAAAACCACAACAATCTGAACCACAACAGCTTACTAAATGAAGTCACTTGTGTTTGATAGGATAGCATATAAAATTATTACAGCTTAATCTGCTAGTTATTTTTCACCAGTGCAATGTGCATTTGGTTTGGCCGTAAGCCTGAAAAATATTTTTGCACTGGACACAACAAGCCCAGGTTGGCATTGTTTTATGCCAGGCAGAACGAATCATCGGATAATTTAGGTTAGAAGGGACTTCTATCCTAGTCTAACCTCCTGCTCAAAGCAGATATCTTGCAGATGAAGTATTTCAAACAGTATAAAAACATAGCCTGAGGAGGCAGGTATGTGAAATGTGGTGATGACATAGTATGTCTTAGGTGGTTTGTTTGTGTGTGGGTTGGGGTCTTGTTGGGGGTTTTTGTTGTTTTTTAAGGAAAATATCCATAGTTAGAATTTCTTTTAAAGTTTTAATTCCTGCAATAATGTTCTGGTTACACTTCTTCTAGATGCCCGCGGTCTTCTGATGATGAACAAAAACATCCAGTATTGTGTTTATTCTGTGGGGCTATGTTGTGTTCCCAGAATACTTGCTGCCAGGAACTGGTGAATGGGGAGGAGCTGGGAGCCTGTACTTCTCATGCTCTTCAGTGCGGAGCTGGAGTCTGTATGTTTCTCAAGTAAGTAGCTAGCTAGAATTTAATGTGTTAAAGAGTAAAGGGAAATATTTCAAGGTCAAAATTCACAACATTGTCAAAGCACTTGATTTGTTTTGTCTGAGATGAAAAAGCTTTGCTTTGACCTAAAATAGAGCTCACCAAAAAGTTAAAAACCAGCTGGGAGTTGTCTTGTATTTTAAATGTAGCTATTTTTTCCTTAAGAATCAGGGAATGCAAAGTTGTCCTCATTGAAGGCAAAACCAGGGGCTGCTTATATCCTGCTCCCTACTTGGATGAATATGGAGAAACAGATCCAGGTCTGAAGTAAGTCAATGTTTAACTTTCTTTCTACACTTCTATTTTGGTATCTCTTTCTTTTACCCATTAGACGTGTTCTTCCTGGTAGCATGTACAGCAAGCACTGTAACATGTATCTCGGCCTCGTGAACTTGTTTCACTTCAAGTTCCTAATGGCAGTTTCCAGTCATGAATGGGTCATTCAGAATGGAAAAATACACTTGTTTGGTATTGTTAAACTTTCTTACTTGTTTCAAGAATGCTTTATATGCATTTCATGAGAAATGTGCAGCAACTGCCATTGCTGAAATGTCATCTTGGAAATGCCAGTCATTGCTGGTTCCATGGAGAGCTTTTTCATTTCCAGTAGAATTGTTGGAATTGGTGTTCATACAGGTACTTACTCTTAAGGGAAGGCAGAAAATGTTCTTAATGCTGGACTATCAGTGGACAGTTTGTCACTTGCCATTCTGATACACTTATTGAGTGTTCTTCTTTTTTCTTCTGTGCAGAAGAGGCAATCCCCTGCACTTATGTCGGGAGCGTTACCGGAAGCTCCATCTGCTGTGGCAGCAACACTGCATCATAGAGGAGATTGCCAGGAGCCAAGAAACGAATCAGATCATCTTTGGATTCAACTGGCAACTGCTCTGAGTCTCTTGATTTTTAGTGAAAACTCTTACCTTTAGCAGTGCTTTGGGAAAGGAAAGAAGGGTAGCAGTAAATAATCTACTCTCGAGTGGATTCCGTAGTTCAGACACAATTGATGGATTCTCTGGGTTGGATGTATTACTGATACATCGAAACAGAATCTCACCTCATATGTTTTGCTCGTTTTTTTTTTCCCCTCCAAAAAAAAGGAAAACCCCAATATATAATTATTACTGAACATTCAGGTCCAGAAATATTTCCACTTTTTTGATAAGTTGTAATTGTTTCACATGTTTTGATGAGGACAGCTTCCCAAATACTGTGCTTGAGGGCACATTTCTGTCTCTTCCATTCCTTGAGAATACACCTAAATGGTGTTGCTATGGAAAAGCCTCTTTCACTCCGTTTCTGGCTTCTTTTCCCAAGCTTAGTGAAGCTTTTTAAATAGGTCAAGATCTGTGGCATAATATTGGAGCAGAAGTGGTACCAGGCCTTTAGTAATCTCTAGCAACAGGTACAGCGAACACTAAGTTGTACAAAGCCTGCAGTCAGCTATATCCTGGGATTTAATGGAGAGTTTTCATTAATGAACTCTTTAAAGGAGAAGCGTGGGATAGAAATCGCATGGGGGGGAATTAGCATCTTGCTTGTTGCATCCAAAAATAAAGTCCATGCTTTTTGCATTGCCAGAACTGCACTTTATCTAATGAATTTGTCCTCTGTTAATGTTGTATATCCTGAGGTCTAGAACTACACCATTTGGCTAGATGGTGGTTAGTTCGACTTCTTTTACAGTTTGTCTTCTGAGATTTTCCCCGAGAACCAAACGTGAAAATACTGTTAGGTAGTTGTAGAGTAGCTCTGCAAGTTATACAAGAACGAGAGACTTCAGTAAAGTAGACGACCTTCAAAGCTACCACTGGACTAAAATCAAGGCCCAAAAGCAGCAGGTTTTAGAATCAGAAATGTTTGTTTGCCCATATTTAAGGAATTTTCCACTTTCATCCTCTGTCACTATTGTTTGGAGCCCTGCCTGCATAAATGAAATTGTGTGTTTTAGGGAGCATGTTGAGTGGTACAGTGCCAGTTAGAGCAGAAAGGGGGGGGAAAAAGTCAGTTAAGTCTGTCTGTTTGCCCCTCAGTAGTTAATAGCACATTGTGGTTGAACTCTCTCTCAATGATATGTGATTGTGCTTTGGTTCTGAATGTTTGTTGTTCTGTTTTCTGAATTTCAACCATAATACACATGAGAGCATTTGTAATGTGATGGGTAAAAATACTTTCCCAGGAAATCCCATTTCTGTGTCAACGTTTGAAGTTGTCAGTACTCTAAATTTCCCCACCCCTTTGCTATCTGGACTCCTTTGTGTCATTTTAATAAGGCTTGCAAGGGGAGGTCTTCAAATTAATGTCTGAGACTGTGTGTTTTTTTTTTTTTTTTTGCTATTGATTGTATGAGAGATAGTAGAATCACAAATAATGATTTAAATATCATTGTTTTCCTAGTTTTTTAAAGTTTTTAGAGTACGTATGAGTGCACTGAACAGCACCATAACTCATCTAAAAATGGAATACCAGTGAACTCAAATATTATTCTGATTTCAAATACTTTTTAATAACTTTTGTTTTAATCCTACCCTGGTAATATAAATAGTTATCTTTGGTATATTTTTCAGGTATTCTGTTGCTTGCTATTAAGGCCATTCTCCATATTTTGATTCTTTCAGATTTTAAACCTAAATATGAAGCTCTTTGAAGACAAACATTGTTAGGCTTCTCTAAAACGTATTTGAAATGCATACTAAATTTATAAGAACAGTTGTCATCAAAACCTGCACGCACTGGCGATTTTTAAGGTCATCAAAACACTTCTTACCAACAAAAATATTGGATTAAGACTAGCAAATGTATGCCTCATTGATACCAAACCTGTGTTCACTTACTGCTTCCCTCTGATATTTACCTATTCATTTATCAAAAACTTTCAGTTACCTTGCACGTCACCGATACAAAATTCCGTTACCAAATATGCAGCGAGATCACTTTGTTTTGTTTTCTGTCTGTACTGTAGTATATAAGGACAGGAGCTGGTCTGAGCAGGTGAGCTCATGTTTTAAGCTCTAGAAATCTCTCTGTAGCTGAAGAAGTGGGAGAGGAAAGTTGCATCTTTCTGTACGTTTGCACAAACTAATTTAGCAAATGGGCTCCCATATCATTCACTGACTAGTGTGGTCATCTTTCATTTCATAAATTACTATGCAGTTTTGTTCACTGTGAGTATAATCTGTATTTAGTGATCGCAAGACGCTTATGCCACTGAGTTCTGTTCCATTCAAGCTGACAGAAGAAGTTATTTGATAATGCACATATTGGTATCTTTAATTGCAAAAATGTAAATTTGAAACTTGTATAATGTTCTTGTGCTTTTGAAATAAAATATCTTGTACATGTATACTTAAAGGAAATAAAGTAACTTCTCATAGATTATTCAATTTTTATTTGGAGGCGCTTTGACACTTTTCAGTTCATTTTACAAGAGCATTATAGCAGCATCTGTTGGTATGGAAAAGGAGGAGAGCTAGTAAATGTTTGGTAAACAATACCAGTTATTCCTGTAGTCCGTGTCATCATTGCACCAGTTAGTAATGGTGGCACGCTTTTTCTTATTTAAAGAAATATTCCACTTGAAGCTCTGTTGTAGTATTTTACAGCTGTGAATTTCTGCAGTATCTGCCCCAATTTGTAAAAGAAGTCTTAAGTACGGAATTTAATATTTGGATGTCCTTCAGCTGATCAGCTGAGTGACTCTGGATTTGTAGCTTCTCGCAGAAGAACTGGCCGTACTGCCTGTCAGGGACTTCACGTCTAGAAGGGGAAAGTTTGTGTTGGTGCTTTGTAATACATATTAAAATTTAAAAGTGTTTTATTACAGAGCTAAGCAAACAGCCAAGACTCTTCTAGATAGAAACGGCCAGTACTTCTTGCTTCTCTTTATGTTACAAACTGCTGGCTATCATCACTTTCTCACTGCTTTGTTGTAGCTTCAGGCACCATGAAGCTTACAGAGTTTGGGTGTTAGTGGTGTTGCTCTATATGCTTATTCTTAGTAAAGCAAATGGTTTTTAGGAACCAGTTCCTGAAAAGCTAAAGGTAGATCAATTAAAGTCTACCAGCAAAAGTGTTCTGAAGAACATTAGAACAAGGAGCCCATTCATTTGGGGCGGGGGGAGAGGCAGGGAAGGAAAAAAGCCACAGCACCATCTCTTGCGTAGTAAGAATCTCAAGGTGCAATGTGCAAAATTACATAGAGGAGGATTGTGGCTGTCATATGCTTTGCTTTGTGGTTGAAATCTACTATATTTTCTAGACAATATCCTTGAATAGTCTCCATTGTAAACTACTCAGATTTGTGATACACCACCTGAGTTTGTTACTTAGGTTCTCCTAACCTATTACTTGACGAGATCTTCAAAGATACGTTCTTCAAAAATGAAAGTTGTTTCATTTCTGTGTGAGTGAATGAACCTCAACAAAATGTTGTGAACAAGTAGTGGGGACTGTGGATTTCATGATCATTTCAAGTCCTTGCTGTATTTGTGAAGAGCTGTGGTTAGTCTCTTTCAGTAGACTGCACAACCTTAGATCTCCTTTTTCTTAATCATGCCTGCAATGTAATACTGGCCTCTCTGGGTACAAGTATTGAGATACAGCCTCGTGCTTGGAGAGAGGTCATCCCGGTGTGCCTGAGGTTCTGCTGGAAGGTTATCCTGAATGTACCACAGCAGCCTGAGGAATGATCTGCTCCAAGTGATAAAAAGCCTCCAATCTTCTTTCATCCCATTTTTCTTTCTGTGAATCATGCTGACCTTTACTAAAAGCAGCAAACCAGTTTATCTCAGTCTCATGGTACTGTAGATGATCTAGGAATATTTATTTTCCCAATTCAGGCTTATGCAGAACTTCATGGAGCAATTACATTTACATACCCCAGGCAGTCTGCCTCAGTTAACTGACATAGAGGAGCAGGACAAGATCGTGCATTTCAGTGATGCTCTCTTCATAAATAAGGACTTCACCTTAGCTTCACGCCTTTATGGGTCTTTTGCGGAACTACAGGGTACTGCACGCAGAGCCTAAAGTGCTCCCATAGTGGGAAACGGATGCAAAGCACAGGTGTACCAAATGATTTGTAAGATTTGAACTATCATGAATCTGGTGTTGTAGAGAACTGTATGCAATTCTTAAAAATCAGTTTGTAGAAGGGAGGTTTCTAGCTTCTAAGGAAATGTCCTGTCCTCATTTTTGTAAATATAAATGCAACTCTGAATGTGCCCTATTTGTATATTTCTTATTGATGATTTTTTCAATGTCGAGCTGGTGTTTTCAGTGGTAATCAGAAAGCTTTAAAGGAAGAGCATCAAAATTGCAGGCTCTACAGGAACTGTCATAGTGCTTTCACCAGAAACTGGACATTAAAACATGTAAGTGTTGTTTTGGTTTTTTTTGAAGAATTTAATAAATAATATAGTTCTACAGATAGGTTCCAGAGTTCCTTTCTTTGAAGTTGCTGTTGCACAAATGTATTGCTATTAATTCTGACTGGATTAGGCGTTAATAACAAGTAGGATAAGAAGTGTCCCCCAAATCGTATTTATTTCTGTATCCGAGCAGATGCTCCAGCTTAAAGGCTTGGCTTGCTAATGCCATCTTTGTCTTTACAAATTACGGAGAATTAAAGCTGGAGTCTGTGCTGCTACCTCTGTTTGTTTTCTTGATGCAGTGCTAAATACTCCAGGACACCCCTGCAACTGCTGGGACAGGTGCAAGCTAGATATGCAGGGTGCATGTCCCCTGCCTGAGGAAACGAATACATACAAAGCAAAGAAGAAAGCTTTATTTAAAAAAAGTCAATGTTATCCTGATCCCTCTGAAATGAGCTGTCATTTTTTGTAATGTCTCTTTACTGATGGGGACTCTGCCTGTACAGGACAGAAATGCACAATCTAATGGCGAAGTTATTGCTGGCTGGCTGGAGTCAAGATGACGACTGTTCCCTGTAAATGTTTGCTGATACTAAGTTAACTGCACAAGTGATCACATTGTTTGCCACTGCTGCTGTTTTTGGCAGTTGGCTGAGACAAAGGTTAACTTGCCAAATATTAGTCTTTTATGGTAAAATGTATTCTCTTAATGTGAAAGCAAATGAGCTGCGTGGGGGCCAGGGAAAATGTGTAGCCGGACAGTTAAACCTCTGCTCTTCGTGTTAATGTGTTACAGCAACTGCTGCATCAAATTTCTGTGTCTACAGAGCTGCTCAGGCTGGATGAGCATTTTAGTTCACTCTTCCTTCCAAATCTATTTTTCAAAGCAGATTCTTGACAAATCTGTCATATGGGGACCTCAACTAGAGAGTTATCGAAAGAGTAAGCTTACAGCTCTTAAAATTCTGCCAGCTAAATAGTGGATCTAGAGAGATTCTTAAATGTTGCAAAATGTCAGGTTCTGTCTGCTTCTGCAGTTAAAATGTTTTTTGCCATTAGGAAATATTTCCTAAAATACAGACTAAGATTTCCTTCTTTTTTTTTTAATTAAAAAAAGTTATGCTCTGATTTCCTGTTTTACAGCCATTTTCATCATACTGAACCATTCTTCTCACTTTCTCTTTTATTTTTTGATGCATTTTATTCTTTAAAATTTGCATATTCTTAATCCTTTTAATTCAATTTTTCCTAATGAAAAATCTGCAGAAATAATTTCTGGTTTTCTCTGAGTGAGTTCTGATTATCTTCTGCCTTTTGGTTATTTGAGTAATCTGGAACTGTTTTTCCAAATGTAGATGGATTAAGATTGTGTTGAGGAAGTGATTGCTATTGAGTGACGCATGTGGCACTTTGCATGCTCATCTGAAAAAAAAAAATGCATTTTTAAAAAATCATATTCTGTTGCAAAGTCTGATTAATTTGCAGTACATGACTGCCTTTCTCTTGGATCTCTCAAAGTACTACAGCTTTTTGTGTTGATTCTTTCCCAGTATGTGTCAGCTAATTCTAGTGCTGTTGGAAGGCTCAGGACACTGTTGTGCTCAGTGTTCTACAACACTGCCACCACAACAGACTGCGATGCAGAAGTCATATTTTTTGCTCTCAAAAATGGTAGAAGGAATTATGTCAGGGAAGGAACTATTTTCTAATGGTCTTGCCTCTTCTGTGCCTTTTGCAAAACATCTGCTATGGGCTACTACTGCAGACAGACCCCATCTGTCCATTTTTGTTTTTAAGATACTTCAGTATAGGCCTAAAATTTGAAGCAGTGAAGCAACTGCATTTGAAATTCTGATCATGCATATAGCCTGCTTGAATTACAGTGCAGATTTGTACATCACACACTTCATTTACAATATGTTCTTACAGGATAATTCTTGTGTTCTTATTCTAGTGTTATAGAAAAAAACCATCATTTGGACAACTAAAATAATTTTTACTGTTACTTTCACGTAATTCCAAAAGCAGAAATAGTCCTGCTCTGAATATCCCCGTGACAGAACTTCTTTCATTCTACACAAAGAATGCTCAAGCTGACCAAAGTTATATTCAAACAATGTGTTTTTCACAACAGTAATAAGTAAAATATTTGATTTAGTCTTTTATCCTCTATTCTGTATCAGTATGTTTTCCCTGCCTACTATAAATGATGAATTACAGTCACAGGGCATCCTGTAACAAGTGTCGTGGGTGCAGAAGGCTTTCACTCCAGGCATTGACAAAGTTCCTGAGCACTGATGGGAGACCTGTCAGTCTGTCTTTGCCTTCACTGGTTCCAAATAATCCTTATCTTCCAGCCCCTGGATCTGGGTAAGTACTTCTAAAATTAGGAGCTTTTAAACATCTAGGCATCAGTATTTGTTTTATGGGAAGTATCTGCTTGTTTTTAAACTTGTGCTGGCACATGCCACTTGGAATTTTAAAGATCCCAGCACGAGCTGTTGATTAGTTGTCTTGAGCAGAGAACTCCTTTCAGCAGTACCCTTGACTTTCATGGAGGTACGGCAGCTGGCTTGCTTTAAACTATGCAGGGGAGAAAATTAAGAGATACTTCATACTATTTGGGGGACGGGGGGGAGTGAAATACATTATTCTGACTGTCATTGCCTTCAACTCAGTTTCTTTCAGAAGGGCTGCAATATAGGTATAATTGGGGTAAAATTTCCCCTGTCCTAACTTGGACTAACAGAGTTTTCATTTCACAGTTTTTGTCTCATTTTAAAGAATCTTTTTATCCAGTGTAATAATTTCTTTTGGGATTTTTCTGCTGCTGGGATTTCTATAGATGTGACGACAGTAGTGCCAAACTTTGTTGGTACGTAGTAGACCAATCTGTAGGTTAGTAGATGTAGACCCATCCTGTCTGGAACATTTGCTTGTGTGTAATTTGAAAATAAATTTAAAATCAGGGTTTTCACAAGAATAAGAAAAAATACATCCAGTCAAAGAAGTATCAGCATTTTTGGAGCTGTCACCAGTCTGTGATTTTTTCAATTGTCTTACTAGTTTTCATACCTTTTTTTTTTCCCCCCACCAGTAAAAAAATATGCTAACTGCAAGACTGTAATTTGTCAAAGGTACCCTTGTGATGTCCTTTTTTTGAAGACTTGCCTAGCTACCTACTGGGATAGATTTTGTTGTAACATTGGTTTTGCCACAGTTCGTGTTTTGAACATCGATGTTGGGGTCGTTCATGCCTGAGACAGTAGAAATCTGGTTGGCTTTGCCAAGGTTCTTAATGATATTGATGTTGTATTTGGCAGTTTCCACAAAGCTGTTTTCTAGTAACCAACCATCTGATTCACCCTCCAAATCTCCTAGCAGAAGGACATTCTTCATTGCTGTTTGTAGGTACCGGACACCGATAAGTACAGAGAGCTGTAAGAAACAGTTACTGGTTAAACAGAGAGTTTAAATTACAGCGTCAGTCCTGCCACTGAGTCAGCTTTCTGACTGGTGTATTTACAGGCCTAGTAATTAATGTTGAGCGAAGCAGACAAATTCTTTATCCTAGCAATATATCTAACTGCTCTCATAATTAATTACATTTTTTAGAAGAAAAATACCAGGGAGAGCGTGATTGATTCTCTCTCCTTTCTTCAGGTAGCATTCCCACTTGCATGTTATTAGCACATAAATACTTAGAATTACTGGGGAACACTGCAGCCTCAGAGACTACAACTAATTGATGTAGAACAGATGATCAATTAATGGAACCAACAGTCACTCGGAAAAATAATTCAAATTGTAGTCAGTTAATTTCTGTGGATTTTTTTCCACTGACCTTAATTAAATTGGTATTTTCTCCAAGGAGTTTAATCATTCATCTGTAAACCATATGTGTCCTGTATGCCAATGCACTAAAATAAAAAAGGATGGCCTATAGTAGAGGCTGAAGCGTAAGTTTAGGAAAAAGCCCCACTTTCACAGTTCTGTTGGAATCGAGATCAGTGTGCCCAGCTTGTCAATATTTCAGGGAGCATGGAGAGCCAGCTCACAGCTTTGTTATGTGCTTCTGCTTATTTATGGCCAGCAGAAAGACTGCAACTTTGCAGGTGTATATGCTTGCCTGTGATAGGCTTATTTTGCTTGCATAATAGGGGGTCTAATCTACGTCTGAAAAGGTGTGCCATGTTTGCAAGCATATGATGAAGCTATGGAATGGAAAAAGGAGGCTTTGAGATATTCATACTTATGTTCAATTTTTACCTTAAATGGAATTAATGTACTGACCCAAATGCCTGCTCCCACTTTGTATATTCTTTGTTAAAACTTACTTAATCCTCAGACCTTCTCACCTAATTTATTTTCAGTTGTGTCACCGCATGTATCATCCTGTAACCGATCCCATAAATGCTTCAGGGAAGGGAATATGCCATAGTCTATTGAAAAAGCTCTGTAAATATACATAATTATATACATAATTTCGAATAGCTCTCATCTTCAATGAGATTTGCTTCTGCTCTGGGGACTTTGAGAAAGTTGTCTGTACTAAAGTCAGTCCCTCAACATTCTTGAAGTGCTTGTGGACTTTTTATTAGACACTGAGGCACCTAACGTACGTGACACCATAGTTGTTTCCCAGCCTAGAGAGCAGTAAGACTGATTAGTCTGACAGCCCATTTTTACGAAACTTACCTCAAACAACCAAATAAACAACGCTGCAATGCCAATGGATCTCATAATAGCTGTGTAGTAATCCAGCAGGGCCTCTCTGCACCCCTTCACCCAGATGTTGAGCTCCTCTGTCAGGAAATCGTAGTTGTAGTGAGCACTGTTGTTTGTCAGCTGGTACTGGATACAGGGCCGCGGGGAGCTGGGGTTGCAGCAGCTGAAGGGTACTCCATCCACCAAGAATTTTCCAGCAACATTGCTCTTCAGACGGCTGCAATAGGACAGAAAGTTTGGGCATTACAAATCTGGTATCAGCAGCAGACAGTGTCTGCAAATTCTATAAAAGGATACAATGCAAGTCTGCTGCGATGGAGGCCTCTCCAGTGTAACAAAAGGAAAATGGGCATATATTGCCAACTGAAAAAGTTGCTTACTGCAGGAAAACTAAATTTTTCGTTTGCAGTATTTCTTGAGTGGGGTATCAGCACAGTATCTCACGTGGTTCTTGGTACTGAGTGTGCAAGACGTGGATTCAGCATTCACAGAGAAGTTGCCTTTTTAGGTATCTTTGCCCTGAAAATACTAAAGACACTTTCTGAACTTGTTTATCTTGGTGGAACTCTAATGGAAGCTATTGCCCTAGTAACCTTGTGTTTCACTACTTCTGGATTGATGTTCAACATAAACATTCCTTAAGAGAGGGTCTAATACAAGAACAACTTTGTGTGCCACAGGAAGCACTGGAAATTGTCTGCTGGTGTTTCATCATTGCATCCGCATGCAAGGGCTGGATGGGTGCATGTTTGGAGACTAATTCACAAGGGAGTTGCTGCTTCTTGTAACAATACTTTTTGTAACTCTTGAAACTGTTTGTATTTATTGCTAAAAATTATTCCTTTCCCTCCCCTGTAAGATCAGGAGAAAGACAAGTGGGAAAAGAAAAAAGATAAAGAAATAGGAGGGAGAAACAAAAATCATAGGATGGAAAGAGAACACAGTGTCAGATTAATCAAGAGTTTCTGGAACAGTTAAATGAATCCTTGGCATCCATTTTCCTTGCATTACCTGCTCTTTAGCTAGTGTGTCCTTGTGAGGACTTCTGTTTCCAAGCAGGCTCTCCAGAGAAGTAGATTTTCCAGACATTGAAGAGTATGTAAAATGTTGAGAGATGCTCTCACACTTTGGGGAAGTAGCCTCTAAGCATGTATCTATTTTCATGCTCGTTGCAAAGGGCTTATTTCCTGAGACAGCCCTGCAGGTGGGAACCATGACCTGTTTTAATGAAGCCCATGTCCTTTAGCCTCTTTTAGGGAGCTAGAATACATGAAAGACGATTTTCTCTTACATATCCAGCTTTCACCATTTGCTAATAGTAGCATTTTTAATATTTTCCAAAACTTACCCTAATTTATTACAAATTACAAATCATATTTTCCTATTCCACTGCAGGTGTTCTAAATTAAGGAAAGGAAGTCATTACAACAAGCTCATCAGGTGAACAGAAGAAGCAAAAACTCTATGGTCCAATGTTCTTCCAGCATTCTGGGACTAAATATATCCTTCAAAAGAAAGATAGAGCTGCTAGAAAGCTCAGTGTTTGTGACTGTGCTGGCATGGTAGAATAACTGCCTTCATTTTATTGCTGTAGACATGCTAAATATGCCCTCTTCCCCCCCCCCTTTTTTTTTTTTGGGGGGGGGGGGGGGTGGTGTGTTTTCGTTTTGTCTAACATTCTGTCAAAAATCTTCCTCAAAGATCTTTCCAAGTAAGCCAGGAAGTTCATCTGCCATTTCCTGCTTAGGAGTGGGTTAGGCATGGGTTCCTCTGCATTTTAAAGTCTAGCTGTTCATTTTCTGGCCCTTGTAAAATCCTGGTAACAGCCACAGAACAAAACCAATGCAAAAGAACCCAAAGAATCCACTGAAACCAGAGTTGAGTGTGCAAGCAAGTGTAACGGGCACAGGCAAAACTACTCACTGGGAGGGAAACAAAGAAGGGAGCTAGAGAGGTACAAAGCAGGAGGCTCAAATGCAAGAGGAGAAAGGAAACCTCCCAGAAGGAGGAGAGAAAAGGCAGCACATTGTGAAAGGGAAGCTTTTCCCTGGGCCAGCAGAATGCCCTCTATGACATGACCCAAACCTAGTACAGCATTTTAAATGGTTAAAATACAATCTCTTAAACTAGATCTTAAGCTTTTCTTTTGATCCCAAGCATCAGTTTAATTATTTTTTTTTCCTGCTACATATTCTAAAGAGGAATCTTCCTTCTGCTGCCAATAACAGCAGTTTCCAGACTTGGGTTTTGTCACTCTGCAATCGTGTTTCTTCTACTAGTGTCAAATTAAAGAATGATGTTAGTATTGTTAAAGGGAAGACCTCAGTAACAGAGCTGAGGAAGTGCTACGTTCACTGCTATTTGTTGTTGCAATTCAAAGGTGTTAGGGTATTGTAAAGGAAAACTTACTTTTGAGACTAGAAAAAGATTATTTTTTTACCCAACTAAAGCAATGACAGGATTGTACCTATCAGGTTACGCTGCAACCTGTCTCCTCATCCTACTGTTCCCCTTGATTCTCTCAATTTCTTGTCATGTTGTGCCATTGGCAATGGACATTTAAAAGAGAGGGAAGAAGATTTTGAAGGAAGGTGAAAATTCCAGTTTTGCAAAAGTTACATGTGCGTTGATGGTAGTTCTCACCCACTTTGCCTCTTAATCTACCAAATACTAATTGACATACAGTACAAGATGAAACCAAGAAAAATATTTGTTTCTTTCTCCTTCCTTTTTGAACGTTACCAGCTGGACTTTGCTTCCAGGAATTTAATATCAAGTGTTTCACTACCAGATTTTTGGAAATCGTAGTATAATTTGGTTATACAGCACCAACTTGGATTCTAGCAATCAAGATGGAATTATTCCATTTACATACAGTAAAATAAATTCTGCAGTGTAATTACTTCTCTCACACACATTTCAGTGGTATCTCCTGCCTACATGGGGCAAAAATTAACTGACAGTGTATTTTCAAAGTAATGGCAGACAGAGTGCAGGTGACCCTGCAGAAGAAAACAGAGTTTAGCTAAGACCCTGAGTAAAACATCAGTGTTTCTTCATGTCTCATAGAAATAATAGGCACTATATTATTCTCGCAATGAGATACTACTCTTAAGTTCCTGTGGACCATCTTTGTTGTCGTGTGTAGAACCAGGATGAAAAACACCTCTCGGGTCAGTCTGCTTTGTGTCACTGTTGCTTTCCAACTACTCTCTCCAGAACACTTGTTCTAAAGCTTGCTTTATCTTCACAGCCAACTGCCTTATGCATGTTGACGCCCTCTTGTCTGTAGGCTCCTAGGTCCTGTCCTCTGGTATATTTGCAGCTCTGTATATATGCTTTGCTGTGATGGCAGTTTCAAGTTGCAAATTCTTGAAAATAAGATCTTTGGCCTCCTTTCCCCTGACTTTATTGTCACTGATTTTTGAGTTCAACAAAACAGAACACTTGACAAATGCCCATCAATCTTTTTGTGTTTGTCTTTCCTAGGGATATATACCTTCTATGCTCTTGTCAGTGAAGACTTTTTCAGATTTAGAAGAATTATTACATGTTGGCTTGTCTACTTTTTAACATTTTTTATTGTTATCTTTTCTATTGTCTGTAAGAATGACCAGTCTTCTTTTTGAGCATATAATTTCACAATTGCTACATCATGTGAAGCACCAACAAAAAAAAAAAAAAAACAAAAAACCCAAAACAAATTTCAAGGTTTGTTCTCCTTTTTTTATGCAGCGTACATGGTGTTGGCAGTGTCTATATAGATGAACATATAGATTTGAATGTGGGTTTGCAAAGTCAAATATCTTGAAAGAGAAAGATCTTTCAGTGTTTAGGATTGACTGTGCAATGTATTGATAGTACAATCATTTTCTCTTTCCATTACCAGCTGACTATAATTGAAATTTTGAAGTAGCTAATTCATTGCATTAAAAAATAAAAGATACAGCTTTGCTTAGCATCCCTAAGAAGTTAGCAAAAGGCAACTTTTGATTGTGCATGTTCTTAGCATATTTTGTGAGTAACGTGGTTATTCTACAGTTTTTTGACAAACTCCAGTAAAGACTAGTATGTACTTTACCTTCTTGAATGAGTTTTTCTCCTGGAATTTTTTGTTATGACTAGTAAATACTTACTCCAGAACTTCCTTGGAAGCCATATTCAGGTAACGAGCAGATACCCACTGAATTTCAAACCAGTCTCTAAAGCCATTGTTTCCACAGCACTGGAATCCAATTTGTAACATATCCACTGTTTTCTTTAAGAAACATCGTCCGGGTATGTCTGTGTCCTTATAGAACTTAATAGCATCCCTCAGTCCCAGATAGAGAGACTCTTCCAGCTCGTTTCTCATGGTGTAGCACATGAGAGCACCCACCAGGATGCAGAAGGTAAAACAGAAGGTACACACAATGTATGGGAGCATAACTAGTTTCCATCGAGAGCACTTGTTGGCGTCTGAGCAGTCATAGCAGATTTTGCCACCCAGAAAGTTGATGATACATGCTATGACCCCGACAGAGATCAGCATGTTGGGGAGAGAGTTAACATCCCCTTTTGCCATCACTTCATTGCGCTTCTTGATCTCTATTTTTAGAAAGAGGCCAAGACTGAAGAGAATGATCCCGCTCACTACAGAGACCCAGTTGAGGATCCATAAGATCTGAGCCAATTTCTCCCTCCTAGTTTTGGTGAATTTTACTTTGAGGACAGCCATAGTCAGATCAGTGTTAGGAAAAGCAGCGTAGGTCAAGGAAAGCTTGTAAGCTGCTTAGGAGCATGTATCCAAGGCATGCGGTAGAAATCTGAAGGAGAGAGAGAGAGAGATTACTGTCTGTTTGTCTGGGTATTTATAGAGACTACAGAAAACTTCCTCTACAGCCTCACACACTCTGAGTCCTGCCAAGGGAGTGCCCTAGTGACGTTTATGGCTTAAATTTCATACAGTGTGAATCACTTAACACC